TATTTTAGAAAAGTGAAAGGAAAAGAGAGAGAAAGAAGCTTGGACCGGTGTAGGTGATTTTACTCGACTACGCGCAACCGGCGGATTTGTTTTAAATTCATAAGGCAAGTTATTATCTACTTTTCCCCCTTGAATTATTAAATTAATTATTTAATTTATTTAGATTATTTTTGAAGTATGGAAAGCATGCTAGGATGTTAATAAATTAATTTTTTTGTTTATTAAAGTAATGAAATTTTAATTATTAAAGGTGTTAGATATTTATTTATTAGCCTATGTAATTAAAATATAGCTAAAATAATTATTTAAGGCTTTAGGGATTTTTTAAAAATTTTCTGGAATTTTTCGGGATTTTTCTATAATTTTCGGCGAATTTTCCGGCTAGTTCCGGTCACCGGTAGTGGGGAAGACGACCGGAGTAATCCGGTGTGATGCAGCGCATAAGGGTTAACATGCGCTTGCATCAGTGGCCGTTAGATCAGCTTTCGATCCTTAGATCAATTCAGTGTAGCGCGATACACTATATGATAGTGCGCGCGAATCAATGGCCGTAGGATTAAGTTAGGATCAATAAATTAATCCAGTGCAGCACGCCCACAGAAACTTGATGCAACCAACGAACCATAAAGCGCCATGTTAGCAGGAATCATCAATGCGCGCATGGCAGCGCGTGCGCGCGCTTGGCTGATGCAAGACACGCGTTGGGGCGCGTGTAAGGAAGGTGGCGGCGCGTGTGGGAAGCTCTGGGAGGCGTGTGAGGGCGCGTATGGGACCCCTACAGCTACTGGAAAAGTCCAGAATACCCCTAGGGACTATTTTGTAATTTTCAGAACCTTCAACTTGCATTTTTGGGCCTAGGGTTGGTAGTTACGGGTTTAACGGGACATTAAATTATTATTTTTATTACCCGTTAATTATTATTATGTCCAATTAATATTTCTAGACATTAATGGTATCGTTTACAGTACGGATCGCTATTAACGGATGTAATTAGTTTAATGACATATTAAAATATTAATTGTGTTATTATTTTATATGGTATTAATCATTAATATTAAATTAAATGATTGCATAATTTCTTCATACAAATTGTCCATTATGGGATTATTTATACTGTTAATGAAATATAAATTATTATTATTATGCTGTGTGCATTTTCAGGTGGTAAATGGACTACTTAATAAATTATGTCGCATTTATATTATATGGATGTGTTGCCATATAGAACTATATGAGCTGACTAATAAGTTGAGACTCATTTATACCTTATGCATTCGTTGGCATAGACAGATGTGTGGCTGTCGGGGTGTGTGGTTTAATATTATTGGCATGTGTTGCCTAAGTGATATGCTCAGTATCTTCATTAGTACCTTGTGATGTGTTACCACTATGTAGGACTTATAGTCTGTGTTGTCAGTACCGTGCACCTTGTATTAATAGTTGATTTCCCAGGTAGGGAAAGGAGACACTAAACCACCTCGTGTGAGTCTAAGTGATCACCGTCTATTCTGGTTGAGGTCATATTATGCATTGTGTAGGTTCATTAGGGTGTGTACAGATATAGTATACCTCTGAATAATAATGATTAATTTATTTGATTATCTGATTTGGGTCATAGTAGAGAGGACTTGCTCGTGGGGTTGACCCACCATTATTGTTATTTCAGGACACGGTCAGTACTCGTTTCAAGGTTGAGGCTTAGCAGCGTGGGACCACCATCCGAACTCATCTACTCTTACGGTCTTGTTCAGGGTAGAAGTTTCATGTATTATTTTGCTTTTAGTTTTATTTACTTCCGACGTTGAACTTTCAAGTTTATATATAGGGATCCTTGACATAAGATTTCCAAGTTGTATAATGGAGTATTGTATTTAATAAATGATGGATGGATGTTTTATTATCGAGTTTTCCTTTCCTGTCTAAGTTCTTTTATTATTATCATTTGTATTCCATGCTTGTATATTACCAATTGTTTTTGATATCCCTCATTTTTGTGTATAAGCCTGATCAACTTATGCGTGAAAAATGTGGGGGCATTACAATATACCCACAACTTCCTTGAATGGTCGTTTATGAAGGTCACAAAGTATATGGAGCCACCAAGTGTTCTCGTTTTCATAGGGCCACACACATCTAAATGTACTAAATCCAGTATCTCTGACTTTCTCGAATGAGGGGAATTCTTGAAAGAGACTCTACTCTGCTTCCCTTACAAATAATGAGTACACCTTTTCAGAAGTGTATTTTTCAATCCACATAGTAGACTTTTCTTCCCTAGTAGAGCTAATTTTTTCTCACTTATGTGAGCCAGTCTCTTGTGCCACAACTCTATTGTATCATTATCCTCCATCGCATTAACAATGTCGTTGGAGATCTTTGTTTGCAGAACATACAGTGCAGAGTGCTTCGTGCCTCGAGCCACAACCATAGTACCCCTTGTGAGCTTCCACTGGCCATCACTGAAAATGCTACAATACCCTTCATCATTAAGTTTACCTACAGAAATCAAATTCAAGCGAATGTCAGGAATATGCTTCACATCTCTGAGAACTAACCTCGTGCCATTATTCGTCTTTAGATACACATCCCCAATTCCAATGGCTTTAACTAAGCCATCGTTGCCCATCTTTACTGTTCCAAAATCACCAGATTTATAAGATGTAAAGAAATCTTTCCGAGACGTAGCATGAATGGAGGCACCACTGTTAATCACCCAACTGGTCTCATTGTATACAACATTTATCATCCCATCATCATAAATAATGAGGAAGTCTACAGGAGTGGTGATAGCAACTCTGTCATCACCATCTTTGTCATCTCCATTCTTCGTTCCCTTCCCTTTCTCATTCTTGTTTTCTTTTTTCAATTGCCTGTAATATTTATTGATGTGTCCCTTTTTCCCGCAATGATAACACTCAAACATTTGCAAACTTGTTGGACTTACTTCTGTTGTTATCTCTGTTTTTCGGACCTCTGCTCTTACTTCTCCCCCTCTTTTTTGTAACCAAGATCTCTGACTGTGAAGAGGATCCCTGTGTTTTTCTTCTCATATCTTCATTTAGCAAACAACTCTTGGCCATATCCATTGTGATTACACCTTCTGGAGCGGAGTTAAACAATGAAGTTCTGAGCGTTTTCCACGAGTCTGGTATTGAACCAAACAACCATAACCCTTGTATCTCATCATCAAACTTAATACCCATTCTAGCCAGCTGATTAATAAATGAGTCCCGTCTTGGTATCTCAAAGCTATCATCTGCTTAATCATAAACAATTTATTATTTACAGTCTTTCTAGCATATAACCGTTCAAGCTTACTCCATAGAGAACGTGCATTCGTCTCTCTACTAATATGGTTTAAAACATTATCATCTACCCACTGCCTGATATACCCACACACCTGTCGATGTAACAAAGTCAATTCCACATCAGACTTATTTTCTGGTTTTTCAGCACTAAACACCGGTAGGTAATAATCTTTTACATAAAAGAAGATCCTCCATTTTTCCTTTCCATATGTGATAATTTGAACCATTGAGATTAATCATTCTACTCGTATTTGCTTCCATAACTCAAATTGCCAACCTGACAATCTGTCAACCTGGAGCTCTGATACCACTTGTTGGGATAAATAACAATAAACAAATACAGCGGAATAACTCTTCTCCCTATATGCAAGCAAATATAGTGTATCTCTAATTTTATATGTGCTGAAAATAATAGAAAATAAAATCAATCACACCAAACTACAAGAACACAAGCAATTTTTTACGTGAAAAATTTCCCCAGTGTGAGGAACAAAAACCACGGGACTTAGTCCAGTTGAAATATCCACTATCAACCAAATAATGGGTACACAAAATATTCTTTAATCGCAATTAGAGGTTACGATACATCTCGTCAAGATACCATCAATCTTGATAAAAACAAAGAGAATTGGAGAGAAAAATACCAAAACCCGGTTACTGTTCACAGGCACGAATCATTGTTCCCGAGCTCAAAATTCGATCTTCACCGTTCAGATTTTAACTCACTGAGTCGTGAACCTCTCCTCTAAATTTCAGCTCGATCGGACCACGGATGAGCGGATCGGACTTTTGATGAAATTTGGGCAGAATATAAAAAACCTGCGTTTTTCTTCTCTCTCTTGTGAAAAAAATGGCTGATCTCTCTCCCTTTTTTATTCTGACTTCCTTAGGGTTATTTACCCTAAAGAGCTGGGCTTTGGGCTTTCCTCCATATAGAAGGAAATAAACCCAACACTTTACTTCACAATTCACATGCTCATTTTGTTTCTTTTAAAAAATTTTAACTTGAATTTTCATAGCAGAAGTTGGGCAGCAATTATCATGTGCTGAGAAATATTCCATGGGAGTCGTAGAAGAGTGGCGATGGTTATGGTCCTCACAGTGGTGGTGGTGAATGGCGTGGCGGTGAAGGCAGTGAAGATGGTGGTTGTTATGTCCGGTGGTATAGAGAGATATTGGTTTTGGTAAGATTGAGTGCAGGCAATCAAATCAATTAAGGGTAATATTGTCATTTTATTTTTATTGTCATTTCATTTTTATTCTGTACATATCACTAATGACATCAGCTTGAGCCAAGGGTAATGTTTTTATTTACAAAAAAAAAAGGGGTGTTAGAGTAATTCTGGCCGAAGTTTAATGTGAAAGCATTTAATTCATTATTTTATGAATAATACAGCATCCAATTTAGATTGGATGAATTTCATTCATTATTTTATGCATAATAGTTCGGTCCAATTCAATTTGATAAATTTTATCTGTTAATGTGACACAATAAAATTATGACAATTATTAGAAATAAATTTAAAATTAAATTAAGTATTCTTTAATTTTTATTTTTGAACATTTATTTTAAATCCAACAAGTCAAATCAATAAATTGGATGAAGTTTATCCGAATTGGGCCCATGTTATTTTATAGACACCTACCAAAGAGATAATGTAAAATTGTTCATTTGGGCTAAGGAGAATGTAAAGCTGTCTAATTTCACCATAGCCGCATTATGCGAACGGTGCTAGTATAGTGACGTGATGTTATAAACTCATATGCAGTATTAGAAACTCGAGAAGCTCACTGCAAATAAATGAAAGGAAAGACTGAACATTTGGAGACCAAAAGGGAGGCAAACCAACACTTCTCTTCTAGTCACCACCACAATACCATCCGATTAGAGAAAGTTACAGTGAAAAAATGGCGTCGTCGTCGAGCAGTGGACTGACATTCAAGCTCCACCCACTGGTAATAGTTAACATATCGGATCACTACACAAGGGTTAAATCACAGTCGCAACCACCTCACGCCGACACTAGCGACGGCGAAGGTGAGGCGTCGCCTCCGCCGCCCAGGGTCTTCGGCTGTGTTATTGGTATTCAGAGGGGACGTACGGTCGAGATCTTCAACAGTTTCGAGCTTCTGTACGAACCCTCCACTCATACCCTCGACCGATCCTTCCTAATGAAGAAGCAAGAGCTCTGTCAGTCCTCTCTCCACTCATCTCTCAATATATTCATACACATATATATATATATATATTTTCGGTTGGGGAATTTTGTATTAATTTCTAGGGTTTGCCGAAACACTAAAGTAACACACTTATTTTGGACCAGATAAGAAAGTTTTTCCCAAGTTCTATGTACTTGGATGGTATTCCACTGGGAGTGATGCACAAGAATCAGATATGCACCTTCACAAAGCTGTAAGTTCTCGACCTCACTGAACCTGACCTAAGCTTTTAACATACATACATACATAGTGCTTTTAACATACATACATAGCATGTATGTATGTATATATTATGTGTATATATATGCCCTTTGAATTTAAAATAACTGGAGGAGTTGTGAATCTGTATCATGCACACACAGGTGCAAATTGTCTTTACGCTGTTGGAAATAGTTTATGGCTGCAAGATGCAATTAATTTAGGCCTAACGCTGGGATGGAGGCAGGAATTACATTTACAATTGTTCTTGTTGGATTTTTATATAAGCAAGATTTTCAACACATTTGAGTGTATACTTTAGTAACACAATTATGCAAATTAAAACATATTCAAATGTGTGCTCGTATTCTAGTGCATATCTCATACTAAGATTTTTTCAATAAGTCAAATTAGGTAAGACTCAACAAACCTAGAAAGTCCTTGCAATAATTTAAAAATAAATGAATGAAACTTAATTTTGTATTGGAAACTTGAACTATTTTAAGTTAGGTCCTCCAAATTAAAGATTAATTTGATGATGAATAAGGAATTGTGCGCTTTACAATACAATGTTCTTAAAGGCGCGCCTACGCACACTCGAGGCGCAGGTCTAGTGCCTGTTGTCATAACAGGCGCACTTATGTTTAGGCGTGCCGTAATTTATTTTATTTTTATAAATGAGAGAAATAAGAAAGTCTAAGAGTCAAAGTGTCAACCGAACATGGAAAGAGTGATATTGTAAGACCAACGACGACGAGGCCGTTTTAGTTCTTTCTTCTTATTCTTTCTCTTCTCCTCTACTCCTCTCTCCTCTCTTCTCCTCTACTCCTCTCTCCTCTCTTCTCCCCTGCTCCTCTATTCTCATCTTTGTTTACTTCTCTCTCTCTCCGTCTAGTTGTCTAGTTCTCTTCTCTCCGTCTTTTATTTTTTATTTTTTATTTTGGTCTCTATTTTTTATTTATTTATTTATTTTTATTTATTTTTCTTCTTTAGCACTTTCTCTCTCTTCATCTACTTCTTTTGTCTATGATTTTTTGCTCTATTTTTTTTTTTATTTTTTATTTTTTTATTTTTGTTAATAATTTATTTTCTTTTTGTTCTCTGTTTTGCCTTTCAAGAAAGCAACTTTGTGCTCTGTTTTATGGTTCTTGAATGCTTATATAGTTGATGGATCATCTTTGCGATCGTATGCGGACTTCAGATGCCCCGTTCAGGTCAACCCGTGCTTGACCTGGATATCATCTTGAGACACGTGTCGCCTTTTGGGTGGTACAAATGCCAGCGCCTTATAGGAGATCAGGAGGTCATTTTTGCCTCCTCCTAAGTGCCATTCTTCAATCCCTTTAATTTTATTGCCAAGGCTTCCTTAGAGCTATCCAATAACACTAGGCCATCCGCAAATGACATGCTGAAAGGTCCCCTTCTAAATATCTCGTTATTTCATCCAAGATTATGGTGAATAAATATGGACCTAGCACTGAACCTCGGTGTAATCCTACTCTTATAGAAAACTCATTCACCACATATAGTACGAACTCTAGTCTTAGTATCCTTATACATATCCTGAATAAGATCTATTTAAATCTAACCAGAATATGTTTTCTCCGTAGAGCCCACCAAAACATGTCTCTTGGAACTCTATCATATGCCTTTTCCAAGTATATATAAACCATGTGTGGATCTTTTTGCTTACTTCTACAATCTTCTATTAGTTGCCTTAATAGGTAAATGGCCTCTGTTGTGTATCTCCCCGAGATAAATTTGAAGCTAAAACTTAAAAGTATGGGACAATTTTAGTATTCATAATATTCTATATATGCAAAATAAAAATATAAAAAATTAGAAGGGGATAGTTCTAAAATTTTAAATTTTATATATACAAAAGACAAATATAAAACGACAGAGAGAATTGATTAGGTCATATTGGCGAGGACAGCTTTACATAGTGGAATTTTTTCCTAACTTTAGGGGGTGCACTTTTTACGTTTTATATAATTTATAGGTATATAATACAAATAATAATAATAAAAAAAATCCAGTGGGGGGTGTCTGCCCCCACTGGACAGTACATAGATTCATCCCTGGTCTCACTCTCACGTTTCGTCATTTTAGATACCAGAGTAGCAATTCTAAAAAATGTCATATCTGCACACCAGTTTCACGTTTCATCATTTTAGATACCAGAGTAGCAATTTTTAAAAATGTCATATCTTTGTCAGCGCCCATGCAATGAAAACTAAAATAAAGACAACTGTAATAGAATGAAATATCCAAGGTACTGCTCTGGTAAAAAAAATCCAAGATGCTGCATAATAGTATTAATCTCCAAGGTAATATATATATTGTGCAGCACTGATTAGTAATATGGAGTAGCAGAAATATGCACAGGACAGATAAGGGGGGCTTTGGTTCCTTGAATCAAATACTGCAATTTTTTATACATCATGTTAATTTTTTTTTTTTGATAAGTAAAATCAAATAAAAGCGCTCAGAAGGGGAGCGGAACCCAAAAGGAATACAAAAACCCACAAAGGGCCACTAAGCCTGCAAAGAGGCCAGGAAATCGACAATCTCCTCTAAAGATCTATGATCTCTCCATGAAACCCAACAAAAAAGAGTAGAAAGAATAGAAAACTCAAGCAAAAAAATCGACATCTCCTTTCCCTCAAAATATCTTCTATTCCTCTCAAGCCATAAGCACCACCACACACAGAGAGGTGTAGCCCTCAAAGCAATATTTTTCCCTCAAAATATCTTCTATTTTATTTTTAACTATATTCTATCTCTTTTTTCTTGGGAGGTGGCAAGAGGTGCTCCTATCAATATTTATGTCAGGGAAGTAGTCTGTTTATTTCTTTGGAATGCATTGCTGTTGATCTTCAAAAAGATCAGTGAAACCCGATCAATTGAAATGTCTGTTGCTAAATTAGATGCATAGACCTTATATGTGGTTGTGGATATGTATGCTAAATACCATCACTCATACAAACGGTCCACTCAAGATTATCATACTTTTCCTAATTTGTGTGATCAACTTGATCAAGACCATTTGATATACTCAGTATGCAAAAGCCATGCGATTTTCATGAACCATTCTTAACTTGTTCACGGTTGCATATTGCCAACAGGATTTGCCAACATTCAATGGTTGAAGTCTAAACAAATGACTTGCTTTTCTAGAAAAATCAAAAGCAAACAATTGAGTGAACCCTAGCTGGCAACAGGATTAGATCTAGAACATCACTTAAGGAAAAAAAATGAATTGAGCTCAATTATGGCTCTCTTCACCAAGACTACTGTAAAATCAATAACAGAAAATGTAGTGAAGCAAACACAAAAGATTTGGGATCTCATTATTTGTTTAAAACTTGATCCGGCAAATAAATTACTTCCAAAATCAAACGAATTTAAGAGAAAAGAATCAAGACAATTAAGTGGACGCAATGAGACATATAGCGATGGCGAGCTATACAACGGCAAAAATGACAAAGATATATGATAACAGTGACGCAAGAAGGCCTGTTGGTGACTACAGCCGGTGGTGACAGTAGAGTGGGCTGTGAGACATAATGATGGAACTATGAAAACTAGACAAACATATAAATTAAGGGAAATTTGATATTTTAAAAATCCATTGAGGCCGTTTTAGTTAGATTAGTACATAGGGAAAGCCTGGCAGGGCAGGACAAACCAATCCTAAACCCACCTCAGCCCTGTTTATTTCCTCAACAATTCTGTCCTAGTAGGAGTGGGGGCCAGACGGGGTTATTTGAATATTTGAATACATTACCATCTAGATCTTGTTGACGTATTTCTGTATCACTAACATCTGGCTCCACTATAGTATTGAGTTATTCCTTATTGTGGGTTTTCGATGCAAAAAGGGATGATGCAAAAATTATGAATCTTTCCTTCTATAATTTTCATTTTTTTGTTTTGTATAAGTGCTTAATCAAGAATATTTATTGCAATTCTTGCACTCTAATAGTAGTCTTTTAATGTCATGCAAATTGCATTTTTTTTTTTTTTGCCGTTTCCCGCAAAAACTATGAATTATGCTTCCACAGTTTTCATAATTTTGTTGTGTACAAGTGCTTAACCAGGATTTTTTATGAGACTTCTCTCTTTTTTTTTTTTACAAGGAATTTTTATTACAATTCTTACCCTCTAATAGCCTTTTTTGTCATGCGAACAAATTTTTCTTTTTCTGCTGTTTCTCTAGTTCAGATTCACATGCCTCAATTTTGTTTAAAGGACTAATTTGTTCCGTGCATGTGTAGTGATTGTATTTATTGGAAGTACTTCAAGGTTTATTATTATTATTATATGGCAAGAATGCATTCATGTTTTTATCAGAAAAAAATTATAGCAGGAATGCTTTTATGCTTTCAAACCCTCGTGATGAATGACCTTTTGTGACAGTTAATGGATATTAACGAGAGTCCTGTCTATGTTCTCCTAAATCCTTCAATAAATCATCCACAAAAGGATCTCCCAGTGACTATCTTTGAAAGTGGTATGTAGCAATCACTGTTATATTCTATTCCTTATTTTCTCTTATGAGTAATGCCGCGTGGTTGATCTCAGTATTTATTATTAGATTGCGTATCTGCAAACTCTCCTTAAGTTGCTCCTGTTCTGTTCCTGTGAATTGTTGATGAGTGGTATTGTATTATATCATTTACCATGTCATGAACAGAAACTTATTCAATGTTCTAGTTGAACCATGTGTAGCCAGTTGTTATGTTCCTTTGCTAAAGGACAAGATCATCATCTCTACCTTCATTTAATTTAATTTTATTTTTTCCGAAAGTTCAAACAAACACACAACCACTATATATTTTTGCTCCCATTGGATTTCAAATGCTCAACCTCTCCAACGAGGGAGGAGAGCTTATACCATCTAGGCTAGAGCCCATTGGTATCTCTACCTGTTACATGAATGTATCTATGGCCAAATACTCTATGTTGTGTGGTGTCTTATAGAATTGTGCATTTCATCACTACTGGCATCATGGTGGTTGTTTTTGAGGTGTATAATGAGTTATTCATTTATTGGTGTTGCTTTGATTGTAAATATGAGACACTTTAGGAACCGTTAGAGATGCTGGGCACACTGCACAAAACTCATATTTACCTTCTGATATTGTGTACACAGACTAGTTCATTTTGAAATAAGGTGGCTGTATTAAAGTTTTGATGTGTGTTGATAATTTCTTTGGCTTGTTCATGCTACATAAACTTAAAATGGATCTACGATGGTACGGTACCTTCTCTAATTGGATCCTTGAAACATAGGTGCTATCTTCTTTAACTGGATCCTTGAAACACAGGTGCAAGTCAACACTTAATTCTGAATGGTCAAGTGTTTATCTAATTAAGTGTGTTTGATAACGAGTATTATTCCATTTTAAGTGGCACTTAAAATGGAATAATTTTAAGTGACAATACAATTAAAATTTCAAAAAGATATCAAAGAAATCTCAATTTTTAAGGGTGAATTGCATAAAACCACCCGACTTGTAGTGATTGGCAATAGATGCCTTTTCTTATTTTATTTGGCGCAACCCCCCACCTGCCACCACTAACTGAGGGGGTTATGGAACCAAATGGCCGTTTAAAAAGGGAGACAGTTTGTTACGTGACTTTGCTGAGGCATTTTTTATGACGAAAATCCCCCTTACATGCATTTTTTAAATGCCCACATGAGATTTGGGTCTTCTAGCTCCCATTTGCAGACTTCCACGAATTATTAAATTCATACAATCACAACCTTGCGAGGCATTGCATGAAAATGCCTTTTTTGCCGCCTCCATTCTCTCACAACTATTATAGAACTCAACAATCCCAATTCGAATCAAACCAAAACATACAATGAGAATTCACTTTTTACACTGGAGCTACTACATATCCTCTGTATTATGCTCGCACACTTGTTGATATTCATAGAACATCTCCAATCGTTTCTTAACTATATCATGTACTGCCCAGGTGTGATTGTTAAAAAATCTCGTCTTTTTTAGCTCGTCTTAATTGCCAAGGAATAAAACCCACCGTGCATGCTCATTGTGGTTGTGGTGTTGTTCACTGAACTCTACTCCTTCCTGGCGGCCACTATCTTAACCAACACGATAAATATTGTATGCTAACATCCACTCCACACCACAAATATACCGCAGATGGATATCGGAGAAAGGTATGTTCTAGTGTCCCCTCTACAAGGCCACAAACACAGCAGAGAGGATTATCCACCAGACACACTTTGAAGTGAAGAATTAATTATAGAGGGGAACTATTTTTTTTTTTTTTTTGATAAGTAATTATAGAGGGGAACTGAATATAAAAAAGCAAAGAAATATGACCATTTCTCTTGATGTAATTTCAGCTAATTGTATGCGTATAGATAAAGAACCCAAAAATGGTTATATCTTTGTTCAATTGGAAAATTAAGGGAAAATCTGATAGGAATTGAACCTCCTTTATGATTTCGTCATATGTAGGTCAGAAACTGGAAGTGAATCCTAATCTCTTCAACGTCCCGTGTCAGATTTGAATCAAATATAATCCCATAGAGATTTGGAGCACCAACTCTTTAGGAATTGAAGCAGGAGCCGTGATTTCCATATTTCAAGGAGCTCTATCAAAGGGCTTTTTGCCGCCGCCGCTTCTGACCTCACCGCAGGTGAGGGTGGAGGAGGTGGTGCAGTGCTTGTCTTGGTGGTCCAAGACGATGCAACAGCTGAGGTGTTAGAGAGGGGCTTTGGGAGAATTGGGGGTTTTAATTTTCCAATTATCATGCATTTTGATCATGTCCAGATTTGAAAATTCGTTTGGTTAGGAGCTAATCCAGCTCATGATTTGCAATTGGGGTTCAGAAAGTTTGAATATCCGTGGAGGCATCGGTTACGAAGGAATTGGAGGGAGAGGAGAGACAGGGAGAGAGAAAGAAGATGGTCTTTTTTGTAAAAAATGAAAAGCACGAAACAGTGTCATTTGAAAAAATAAAACCCTAAAAACCCAAACAGATGATATCACATAGGCTACTTTTAGTACATAAACCAAAACGACGTCGTGAATACTAAATGGGCATTCTAGTAATTCTCCCTGTCTGTTAACTGTCATATAGTTCCGTAACTGTGCCAAATAAAAAATAAAAAGGAGGCTTATTGCCAATCGCTACAAGTCAAGGGGGGTTTATGCAATTTGCCCCAATTCTTAATTACCACTTAAAATTTTATCACTTAAATTCAGCCATTAAAGTTTCAAGTACTTATTTTTTTTGTTTAATCAAACAGAAACTATAGTTTGTCAACATTTTGCTGGGAATTACTATTCAATCGTTTGTACAAATAGTCGTTTACAATTTTTTGTTAGATGTTAAATAGTTTGGTTGCGAATTGAGAGACAGCTAAATCAAATACATTGTTAAAGGATGTATTAAATGTTTTCTAGTTCATATTTGTCAGATTTATGTCTCACATGGTTATGAGTCTGCTGCCTGGATAATTTATTACTACCTCTGTCCCAAAAAGAATGTCTCAGATTTCTTCTGTTTGCTACTTTACTGATATAACGATCCTTTTGTCCAATGCTATCAAATCATTACAACTTAAGAGTTGCATGTCATTGGCGGAATTCCACGTCTTATTTTTGTCCGTTCAAGCTACACTATAGAGGTTTGGCCCGTTCTTTTGTTGTACTTAATTTTTAAATTGCTATTCTGAACTGGGGTGACTGAATTCTATCATTTTGCTTCAAAGACAGTAGAAGCAGAACGGATCTCAGTTGACCATGTTGCACATCTCAAGCCATCTGATGGAGGTTCTGCTGGAACACAATGTGAGACCTCCCCACTCCAGCACTCCCTTACTTCCATTCAACGATTTTTCTGAGGGTTTATTATCTGTATCTAATTTTCACCCGAGAAAAGAATTCTTTAGAATTTCTTATATCATTCGTACTTCTTCCTTTTTGATGACAAAAAATAGTGAATGACTGGCATGTGTTTTGTCTTGTAGTGTCTGCTCACCTTACGGGCATACATAGTGCTATCAAGATGCTGAATAGCAGAGTCAGAGTGCTTCACCACTATCTTCTTGCTATGGAGAAAGGTATGTGTTTCTATTTTTGTGAGAAACAAACTTCTTCAGGAAGAATAAGAGAGAGAGGAGGGATTTCCTGTGCACAACAACTAGTCTAGTATAAAACACCACCAGTAACTAGTAACAAATGCTTAGAGCGAGCAGAGAAGTCCCATTTCCTAAGAAATCCAAATTCACAATTCCCCCTTTTATTGCTCCTTGATTTGGTAACATCTTCAGCATCTTTTCAAACTGTTGGAGTCTCTCCAAGGACATCCACCACTATTTTTTAAGATTATACTAAAACAAAATTCTCACTCAATATTTACCTGGGAAAAAAATCTCACTCAATACCGTAGACTATGGTTGTTTGAACGTGCGTATATGTGCTTTGGTCAGTTTTCTAGAGTGCACTTTTTTTTTTTTTTTTTTGTTTATTGCATTGGGCAGTGCAGGTACAAATAGTATTTTCTTTCCAAATGCAGGTGATGTTCCTTGTGATAATTCGTTGCTTAGACAAGTGTCAAGTCTCTTGAGGAGATTACCAGCCATTGAATCAGGGAAATTTCAAGATGATTTCTTGATGGTGAGTGTTTCCCTTTCTTGACCAAGAAAACTATCATAAATTTTCCTTGTTGTGAAGGCCAATCAAATGTATATGTGCTTCCCTTGGTTGGATTTTTTTCTTTTCTTCCAAGAGGTTGAAAAATTTCCCACGGAAAGGGGATGTTATCAATTGAATTCTTTGTTGACATAAAAAACAATACAATTTTTCTTTCCTGAAACTGATAATCACGTTTTTGTTTTCTTGCTTTCATTGGATTCTTTCATTCCAAGTGGTTGACACTAACTTTTTCTTTTGGGGGTGAAGGGTGGTCTCAAATAATCTCACTTATTCCTCATTGTTGTGCTTCTGCCTTTCTTTTATTTATTTAATTTATTTTGTTCATGATTCATTTGGTTTTTTTTTGTTATATTGTAGTATTTTTGCTTATTAAGTTTTCAACTCCATCATATATTTGATTCTGTTATTCCACCATTTTTTTAGGAATACAATGACATTTTGTTGATTACTTACCTGGCCATGTTCACCAATTGCTCAAGGTATAATGTTGAAGCTCTCTTTCATTTAAATTTATGTTCAAGTTTGAAATTCTTTGAAAAAGGAATCATTTTTGGTTTGTAACAAAAGATAATGTTCAAAATAAAGAGGGTGGCTACTGATTGGTTGATCTTGAATTTGGTAAAGCAAGTGAGGTGGTATGAAGAGTGAAACCTAATCTTGCTATGTTATACCCAAAATCTTCTTGGAATATGTGGTGTTGTGATTTTCAAATTAATTTGTAGACTGGAATTTGACATACAAGTGGCCCCACTTCTATACCAGCAAAATATCATCCTCGTTTAATTATTTAAAATAAGGGTGGAGCCACTTGTTAGATCAGGAACCTCTCTCCATCCAATGGCAATGAAGGTGCAAGCTCAGTCAGAGTACCCTCATAATAGACACGCTCGTAATATTATTCGGGTGAATTACACTTACCTCTCCTTAGGTTTGTCATATAACATTTGATCTTTACTCTTGTTTGGATGATAATACTGATCTCCCCTATCTGAAGATCCTTTGCCGTAACGGTGAATTGAAAACTATCTTTTTACCCCTTAAATTTTATTAGTATTTTTTTTAATGAAAGAATGACAGAAGTCTATAAGACTCTTAATTTTCACATAATACTCTCCTTCAATCTTCACAATCTCTCTTCTCGTCACCGCCTGTAAATTGTATTCTCTCTTCCCCCTTTCAATTATACTGCTACCCCCGGATACTTGTTTTTACTTTTTCGTTTTTTTGCCTGAACAGGCTGGAAAAAGACCCATATATATAAGAGAATTTTGATGGTTAATGGCCATCTGAACAGAACTGAGCAGAACATAGGAAGAGAATTATTTAATGGGAAATTTGGTACAGGAAAAGATTTTAACTAATACTATACAAGGTGGGGGAAGCACCGGTTTATTAAGAATTGTTTGAATATATAATTTATTTTTGTCCTATTAATCTTAGTCTCAAGCTTGAGTTGGAGCTCAGGAATGACCTTGAAATTGGTGTACATGAACCAAACAATCTAAAGATTGGGCTTGACGAGTAATGTTCAAGTGGAGCTCGAACTCAAATATATGAGCTCAAGTCGAGCTTGGGCTCGGTTTGTCTGCACCCTAAGGTTGGGTTGTTGAGATAGATTGGCTACAAGACATACTTCATGGGAATTTAAACAAAAGAGCAATTAGGTTGTTGGCATTGATGGAGTGACTATTTTCATTGCTGTTGTAGGCTTGAGTCTTCATACTCTTCTCTTTCTGCCACTTCTTAACTCTAATTATTATATTTCTTTTACAGTACAATGAATGAGCTGGTCGACAAATTCAATACTGCATATGACAGGCATAGTCGAAGGGGAGGTTCACGAAGTGGTTTTATCTGACTGCTGCTTTCTTACCAGCCACAGTCCCACACGCTACATATTGTGCTTTGGTGGCAGTAGCTCTCTCTTTCTCTCTCTCTCTCTCTCTCACACACACACACAACAACAACAACAACAACAACATATTGGGTTTTGGTGGCAGCAACTCTCTCTCTCTCTCTCTCTCTGTGCATGCATAGCTCAAATATTTGGAAATGATAGTGACCTGGACCTTAGACTAGTTATGAAAAATAGGAATCCTAATAGTTTTTGGTGTTCTGTTCCTTTTGGTTGGCCAAGATATAGTTTTATATGGGCATATACTGTCATACTTGAGGATCTTTCTCACACAGTCATTTTCACAATTTAATTTTCTGATTATATTGTATCTGATTTTTGGAGAACATGCCTTTATAGTGCTTATGCTGCTGGGCATTCTGTCCATTGAATTTTCTGCATCTGGAAAAATGGTGACCTCTATGCTAAAATTGAAAAAACATCCTTGCACTCGTTTTTTTAATGTAAAAAATAGGAAAAGGCTGGTTTCCCTATTCCTCCCTTCTTTCCTCCTTTTTTTACTAAACATCTCACAGAGAGTGAGTGAACGTGAGAAAAACCATGTTTGAATATTTTGCTTTTTGAACCTGAGTTTTTTTGTCATGGTTAAACCTTAATTATAAAAAACACTATCCAAGTATCTGCAAAAATCAACGGACTTTTTGTTACTAGTCCATTTTTTTGTTTCTTGTTATCCAAAGAATGCTAACAGCTCCAAATTATTATTTCTAGTTACAGAGAATACAAAATTATATATGAAAATTAGTTTGAAATATGAACTCCAAAAATATATATATATATACATGTATAATATTAATACGTATGTGTTTATAATATTAGTATAAATGCATGGGCAAAGAGTTTAGAACTTTAATTAATATGAGGGTGATGTCTGAAGGGGTGAGCGATCAGGTATGAGCTACCCAGGGTGAAAGATCCTAAACCTGCAGCGGTAGACCGGTATCGAGAGTTGAATCACCACAAGTCGGAGTAGAGTGATAGTTTGTGATCGAAGGGTATCGAGAGTTGAATCCCCACAAGTCAGAGTGGAGTGATAGTTTGTGATCGCTCTAGTTGTATTTAAGATGTTTGATAAAAAGCCCAAATAAAAAACGTTTTTCTTTATCAACTCAATTAATGGTTTTGGAACTAATAAATTCACGGGTCTTGATGTGTACATGGTCTGAACGGTCTATGATTGATTTTTATTATGAAATTGGAGAATTGCGTATCAGATCGTATGACAAAACCTCATGGAAGCCATGTTAAAAACTCTCTCACTGGCATTGTCTATCCTAATTTATTTTCAGATCTTGGTGCTCAAACTGGTGATGCTAAACTGATAAAAAGTCTAAATGAAAAGTGTCGTTCTTTATCAACTCAATTAGTGATTTTGAAACTAATATATTCATGGATCTTGATGTGTACACGGTCTAGAAATTGAAGAATTGTCATTTGCTTAAAGCATATCATATGCCAAAACTTCATGGCATTTGTTAAAGGCTTTCCTACTAGACATTCACAAGTAGGGATGTCAATTTTTACCGCCCCGCCCCGTTAATAATGGATATGGGAACACTTTTTATAGAGTTGGGGCGGGCATGGATACAAATTTTGTACCCGTCGAGGGTCACGGGACGGGTAAGGATTCAGTATATATATCCTGGGACCCTGCCCCGCCCCACCCCCCTAAGCATATATATATATATATATGTATATATATATATAATATTAATAACTTATTTTAGCGGCTTACCCAGTTTCCCATCTCTTACAATCCTAATTTGGAATGTAAATTTGGTATTAAATTTGCTTTTGTTTTGGTTATGGTGAAAGTTGGAGCTTAGAATTTCTTGTGATTTGATTGTATTAAACTTTTATTTTTGTTTATTATGTTCTCTGAATTATGTTATGTACATGTTATTTTTTTATTTTTGTTGGGATACATAATTTCATTTATGTTATGTCATTCCCAAGCTTTCCACATTTAAATAGCAGGAACTTAAGTTCCAAAAAGTGGGAGAAAAAAATTTATTAGCGGGGCGGGCACGGGACATAGTATTTCCCAACGGGGCGGGATTGTACATGAAAATTTAACCCGTCGCGGGTCTCAGAGTGGGCATGGACTTAACAAAAATTAAAAGGGATGGGGCGGGGATTTAGAGAAACTCGCTCCAAACCTGTCCCGTTGCCATTCTTATTCACAAGGGGGCACTAGAAAATTCACACAATATATGTAGACCAATAAAGAGAATTGTAATTAGGGCCTTCAAAACCTTGGATTATCCGAGAAAAAAGATTAATGTTTGTGTGACAAAGCAAAATGACAAATTTAGAGTATAAGTCATCTCCTACAAACCAAAAAAGATACTGATGAGCTACATGAAATGGTTACAAAAAAAATCTAGATTGGGTAAAGGAATAAAAACATATGTTGTATATCAGAGTATGCAAAAATGTCAATTAGTCAAACAGTAAATGCCATTATATATCATGTTACAAAAGAGTACCAAACATTCTTCACGACCCATGAGAAAAAAATGGGTCATTTTTCATTTTTTTTTCGTTAATTTTTGGCCCATTTAGACTAAACTTTATAAGAGGTCACATAAACACGCTTAAGTGCAAAGTTTTGATAAGTTCGCGTCCACCACGGTTTTTTTACCCATTCAACATAGCATAAATGTTAACAAAGTTCCGATGAGTGCGAAGGTCAAGATTTTGTTGTACTTGTCAAAAGCAAGAATAGAAAATTGATAACATCTTCAACTATGATATTTGCTCTTCATACAGGAGTACAATATCAGTGGCGGGTCTTTGTTCGAAAAATCAATCCTGGGCTTCTTAGCATCACCGTCTTTTACGAAGAGCTTGGTTTTGTCAAAAATGGTCTCATACCAAAAAAAATATTCTGTCTCGCATGGAATTTAATTTAGAATTAAAACATTTTAAACTGCAAATAAGTCAAACTTTTGATAAACAGCTTGGTAAGAGTTAGTGTTTGATTTTTTAATAAATGGATGAGCTCAAATAAAAAATTTGTGTGACTGCTAAACAAACCAATCTCAAATGCTCCTCTACTTGATTATTTAATTTGTGAATATGTTGGTAAACAAGGTCTTTAATAGGAATGGCAACGGGGCGGGTTTAGAGTTTCCCTAAGTCTTGCCCCGCCCCTTTTAATTTTTGTTAAGTCCATGCCCGTCCCAAGACCCTCGACGGGTTGGATTTTCATGTCCAGCCCCGCCCCGTTGGGAAATACTGTGCTCCCGTGCCCGCCCCGCTAACAAATTTTTTTCTCCCACTTTTTGTAACTTAAGCTCCTGCTATTTGAATATGGAAAGCTTGGGAATGACACAACATAAATGAAATTATGTATCCCAACAAAAATAAAAAAAATAACATGCACATAACATAATTCGGATAACATAATTTCATTTATGTGGTTTAATACAACCAAATCACAAAAAGTTCTAAACTCCAACTTCCACCATAACCAAAACAAAAGCAAATTTAATACCAAGTTTATATATATATATATATATATATATATATATATATATATAATATAATTATATGCTTAACGGGGCGGGGCCCCTAGAATATTTATACTGAACCCTTACCCGCCCCGTGACCCGCGATGGGTACAAAATTTGTATCCATGCCTGCCCCAACGGTATAAAAAGTATTCCCATATCCGTTATTAATAAGGCGGGATGGGGCGGGGCCCTGGCGGGATGATAAAAATTGACATCCCTAGTCTTTAACCGATGCTATTTGAGCTTATAATTATGGAGGGATATATATATATATATAATTTCATAATTTTAGGCCCATACTTGATTTTTAAACTTAAAAATCAAACCCAGCCAATCCAATCCATTTAAATGAACAGGCCCAAATCTCAAATGCTCCTTTACTTGATTATATCATTTGTGTACATGTTGGTAAACAAGGTCTTTAACCGATGCTATTTGAGCTCATAATTATGGGGGGATATATATATAATTTCAAAATTTTAGGCCCAATACTTTATTTTTAAACTTTAAAATCAAACCCAGCCAATCCAATCCATTTAAATGAACAGGCCCAAATCTAAACCATCCAGATATATCCTTTGACCACTGTCAGTCCCATCTAACTCTGAACCGTAGCGCCATCTCTAATCTTTTCCATTCCCGACCAGGAGTGTGTGTGTGTGTGTATATATATATATGTATGTATGTGTGTGTGTGTGTAATATACGCCTCCAGCCTCCTTCACTCCTCTGCAAAACCTCAAGCGCCCTCTCTTTCTCTCTGTGTGGTGATTTGTTTCAGATCTCTAAGAAGCAATTACTACTAGGGCCTAATTGACTGCCGATTTCATCTTAGTTTGTTGAGATTCAAGCAAATTACTTGACCTGAAGAAGTAATTGGCATATATGTTATCATGAAGAGAAGTCGGTTGCCAAATATGAATAGATCCAGAAGGAATCGAGGCAAAGCCATGGCGATGAAGATGAAGAAGGCGGCGGCGGCGGCAGAGATTGTTAATACAAGAAATCAGAAGCGACAGCGCCATACCTTACCCAACATCTTCTTGTTGAAATACTCTCAAAACTGCCGGTGAAGCCTCTGTTACGATTCAAGTGTGTTTCAAAGCGGTGACGCTCTCTGATCTCTGATCCCCACTTCATCAAGGCCCACCTCAATCAATCACTCATAAATTCCAACATCCAAACACAGCGGATATTCATAGCCACTCCCCGCCACCCTCTCCGTGTCCACACGGTAAGCTTCGGATCGTCTGATAATGACGACATTAATGTTGCAGTATCAAAGATTGATTTTTTATTTCGGAACATTGATCCTCATCCTCGGTGGCATGTCATTGGTTCTTGCAATGGGTTGATATGCATGACGGTAGATTTTGGAATCGCATGTGTATTCAATCCTTCGACTAGGGAGTCCAAGCAAATACCAGATCCCTTCCTAGCTATCCTAGCTAGCGTTCTGATGATTACAAACTGGTGAAAATACATAGATATAGTAGCATCTATGTATATTCCTTGAGAAATTGTTCTTCTTGTTGGAGAAAACTAGTCGATGACTTTAGTAAGTATAATAATGACTTTGTTTTCTCGGATGGGACGGAGCTGAATGGAGCCATTCATTGGCTTTGTTTGGACATGGATTCATACAAGCCATCAAAGATTGCTGTTTTTCGTTTGGAGGATGAGAAATTTTGGATGATTCCGTTGCCTGCTTCCTTCACCTGTTTTAATTATGCATTCGAACTAGGGGTGTTTGAAGGATGCCTTTGTATACTACCATGTGGTGATGATGCATTCTGGGCTATGAGGGAATATGGGGTGAACCAGTCTTGGGCTAAACTCCACATTAAACTTCCATTTTTGGATACCTTAAAGCCATTGGCTTCGCTGAGGAATGATGAAGAAGCTATATGTTTGATAGACTTCAGTAACTTGGTTTTATACAACACAAGACGGGGAACATCTAGGGATCTTATCATAGATGACAATATCGAATTCTTATATGCAACCACCTATGTAGATAGTCTCGTATCACCGGTCGCCAAAGTGTGATAAGTCTCTATCTTCATGTCAATGTATTCCAATCCATCAAATAGCTTCATCCTCTTCTGTTCACTAACCTTTATTTTTTTTTACATTAAAGAAATTATTATATATATATATACAACTATACCTCTATAGTCACGGGGCTCAATTATACAATTTCATTTATGTACCAAATTTTAACAAACAATATTAGCAATATATTTGGTCTTCAAATTCTCTAGGACGTAATGCCAAAACCAGGGTGTTTATTAAGGTTAAAGTCACCAGACTCTGAGAGGTAGCTTCCCAACGCCTAAAAGTGGAAACTCTCTCTCCAGAACACCAAGGTTCCGGGAATCCCAAGCTTCCAGCAAGAAGTTCAATTTTCAAATCAAATACCTCAAAGAAATTCTCAATTATTGTCGGGCATGGAACTAACTTTGGAAATTTTGGATTAGATTTATTGTATTTATGTTAAACAATTTCCTGACCTAGCCATTCCACCAGCCACTAAACCAACTAAAGAAAAGATTCCATTTGGCACACTGTGATTAATTTTAAAAAATAAGTTCCATGTCATTTTACACCATCCTCCACACAAGAATCAGACAATCTTGATGTATATGCACACTATGCGATTAATTTATAAAGAACCAATGTGAGCTTAAAACCTGGAATTTGGGGTCATCAATGTGTGTACTAGTGCGCCCTGCACGTACCATTAAATTGGCTTCCAGCCATGCAAATTGTACCAAATAATTACTTACATGCTCAAATTTGGAAGCCCAATCATAAACCACTAAGGTGTGATTTTGAAAGGTAGAAAAGTCAAGCGAGCCAAGTGAAATTATGACAGCTATAGAAAGTTTATATGAGATTTTGACAAATTTCAAAAAAGGTAAATGAAATTGAAAAAAATAAAACAAAATATTTAAAGACTTTATTTTCCCATCGGCCTAACACGCTAAAGTGTTACACATTGATCTTATTCTTCTTCTTATTTATTTATTTATTTATTTATTTTAAATAGTTGAACACATTGATCATGAACAACAAGAAATTGAAACACCCAGGGACAAAGACAGGAAATTAAGTCTATTGGCATGTTAGGGTGACAAAAAAAAAAAATCTAACTAACATGTCGATTAACAATGTTACAATACAAGAAGTTGAAAGATAAAAATGTAGTAATGGTATAATAATTTCAAAAATAATACTACCATATCATTATTTGCCAAAAAAAGATTGCAGTAAAGAAAATTTTCAAAACAGAAAATATGGATATTAAGTTCAAAAAATTATAGGGATAAATTTAAAGAACAAGAGAGAAATAAATATTATTGCACATACATCATATATGAGTGCAAGAAGAAGAAATCTTAAGATGAGGGAAAAGAAAGGAAGAAAATTAAAAAGAAAGAAAAATGAGATAACTTTAAAAGAAAAAATAAGAAGGTGTTTGAAGAAAAAGAATGCAAAATATTGGAAATTAAAGAAATTAGAAGAAAAAGAAGAAAATAAAATATTTACAGCTAGAAGGCCCAATGTGCAACTCTTTGGCAATTCCTAGAGTTGTAACAGTTGGACCTTCCAAATATATACGTATACTATTAGTTTTTTATTTTTTACAGTAGTTTTTTATTATGACTATTATGTCCTGGTCAGTTAATTTTTGTTTGTTCGTGACATTCGCGTAGGATGTCACCATAGAAAGTAAGAAAAGAAAAAAGCACTCGCTTGACTCCTATTGCATACAAATTACATATATTTTTCCTCAATTTCTCCGCTGTGAGAAACGAAGATCCAAGCAAAAACTCAACCATTTTATATAAATTTAGGGTATTCCTCTTATATATTGCCTATACTTTCTACTATATATATCATATATTTATATATATACACAGAGATAGTAGATGTGTATATATATGTATAGAGAAATGAGGTTATGAGAAGGAGTGGCAATGTCGGGGGGCGAATACAGTGATCGTAATATACTGTTGCGATCGAATTCGTCGGCTTCAGATGGCGATTTGGAAGGTCAAGGATCGCCGAAGAGTAACAAAGGCTTTCAAGATCTGCTGAAGCGGTTGGATCGAGGGTTTTCGGGACGACGTCTCAGCATCAAGCGTTCGGATAGGGACACTTCTTCTTCTTCAAATCATGGCGACAGTAACGGCGGCGTCATCAACGGCAGCGATGAGATCCTCGGTGATAGTGCTCCGCCGGAATGGGCGTTGCTGCTCATTGGCTGCCTTCTTGGCCTAGCTACTGGTCTCTGCGTTGCCGCCTTCAACCGTGGGGTGAGTCGTTGTATGCTTATTTGTATTGCTTTGTTATCTATTGAATTTGGATTGGCAATGTTAATATAGCTGCGTAATGAAAAGGGGTTGATAATGTTCTGTTAATTGCACCCATTTGCTGAAACTTTGGTCATTTTGGGTTGATCTACATTTGTTGCGGTAATCTATGCCTGGGAAATCGAAAGGGAGTATTTAATGGATGATTCAGGGCAAGCTTTTAATCTGATACATTGCAATGGAATTTGATTAGAAATAATACTTGTAATCTTCTCAACTTCTTTCACCTTTGTGATTTTTGGGCGTAGCTACTTGAAACTACAGTTCTGTCTTGCTAGCACAAGTGTTTGAAACAAGGAGATAGAAGGAAAGGGCTTAAGACCTATTGCCATTTTCACGTGGAAGGATAGATATTGATGTTTCCATGAGGATCCTAATGAAAAACAATGTCTTCTTAGAATAAAAGGACAGTTTGAGTTTTGTGGAACTGTTCCAAAGTAGATGAGCACTGAGAAGCAAAGTTTTTTTCAGCATCTGAGCTTTTTTTTGTTCAAATGTATCTTATTTTCCTTGGTCCTGGATAATTCATTCCTGGCGAATTAAAGGAAGCTTTTAATGGATGACTCAGGGCAAGGCTTATTGCTGTATATAACAAGCCAGTGTGTGTGAAGTAATGTTAAGCTGTATAAATGGGATGGAAATAAGTGATAGCAAAAGAGAATGAGGACACTTCAAATGCAGCTGTAGGTGGCTTAGTGGCTAAACATTAGTGGCTGGGTGCAATTTTATCTCACAAGTAATAAACACAGTGATTGCTCTATTTGGAAAGAGTTTTATGGTTTAGGTTGAGGGAGCTATAAGGATAAGTGCATGGCTTGCATGTGATTGTGGATAAAATTTGGTTCTACACAATCCAGGTGCATGCAATCAGCTTCATATAGTTGTAAAAATGCTTATTTAACTCCAGTGCATTGTCTTATGTTTTACGAAGGGAAAGAATCTATCTCCTTGTGTACTTGATTTTTGCATAATTGAATTGTATTGAATGGTTATACTTACTATTTTTATCTTGTAAAGAATAATTTTATTATAGGTAATCTTTGTTATTTGTGACAAAGATTGATGTTACTTTGCCAGTTTCTTAATTTCGAAGATATTTTAATCATATGTGCCTTATAAGGGCAAAGCTGTCTGGTTTGTGTCCATTTGTTTAAAACCATAACCAATGGTAAACAGGCAATGATTAAGAATATTCAATCTCCGCTCGTTATCTAGAACAGTCTTTATATCAGGCAAATTGGTAGTCAATCATCGTACTTGGAATCCTGATAAACCCCCCGTGGTCTCTCAATTTTCAAATACATCTGTCATATTTGCTGTGAAGAAATTTTAATTTTTTATCTCTAGCTGATTCATCCACAATTATAACCACTGGAATTTGATTGGGCAATAGTCCTTGTAATCTTCTAAATTTCTTTTACTTTGTTATTTTTATTTTATTTTTTGTGTGTGTAGCTACTTGCAACTATAGTTCTTGCTATCACAAATGTTCTAAAAATGAAATAGAAGGACAACTTGAAAAGGCTTAAGATTCTGTTGTAACATTCTATGTGGAAGGATAGAAGGAAAAGGCTCAAGACTCCAAGTGGGTCCCACATCATATAGCATATGCCAAATTAAGGGTTGAGCCTTAGATACCTCCTTCCGCGACTTTTGTACACCTGTAAAGGTTGCAGCCAGCCTGCCACTAATCTCTATCAAATGTGTCGCAGAGGAAATTGGGTTTGTTGCCTTTCATTTCTCTCTCTCTCTCTCTCTCATTTATGCATGATAATGGTGTTTCTGACCACTTGCTTTTGCCACCGTTTTCATCTTGGCCTTCTTCCTTATCACCATCATTGTTGGAGTCTCTTGATTGGTTTTGATAATGTAGAGAACTAACAATAACATTTTTCATTTGTTCCGAGGAAGTTATTATTATTATTATTATTATTATTATTTTTGTCAATCTGACGACAATCCCTCAATCACTATCATCATTACTTTGAGATTGTCCTGACCCTGACCACTACTACCATCATTACTTTGGTCCACTCCAAAACCGATGCATCCGATTGTACTCTTTCTCCCTCTCTCTATGATGTGCCACTAACTGACTACTTTTTTTTTTTTTTTTTTTCCCTCCCTTATTTTTAATGTATTCTACATGTGGCATTGCTTTCTTTCTCAAGTCTGGTATCTACTTTTTTTTATTTGCTCTGAGAAGTTAGGAAAAATGAAACAGAAAGCAATGAGAATATTACATTATTTGGACGTTTAATTGTTTCGGAATGCCTAACCAAATATGATTCCAACACCTTAACTTAATGGCGCCTAGTGCAACTATACGTCTCTAACCTGAGTTGATTTCATTTGGTTTTGAAGTAATGCCCAGATTAAAAGATGTATCTTGTTCTCTGGAACTACCCTTGGTTTCCTTGGCCACCAAAACAAGGGTCATTAGGTATTCTCTGAATGCAAGAATAATGATGCATGTGTGTATATATATAGAAAGTGGTCTTCTGAAGGTAGGAGAACATATACAACCACCACCATCACCAAAGCCTTTTCCCAAACATATACAACAACGACCACCACCAAAACCGTTTCCCAACTATTTGGGGTCGGCTACATGAATCCCATGTTTTCATTTCGCTCTATGTAAGGACATGGCCTCAGTCAAACATCAAACCGCATGTAGGTAGGAAAACATATGTGTACAACAAATATAGCAAAAGTCAAGCTGATCTATTGATATAATATGGCCTTGCTTGGAATTTTTGCGGGTCTGAAGGGCCCTGGAGTTCTAAATATTTGGGTATTCTTGTAATGATTGTGTATAGATTCCCTGTGTTGCATGGGAATGGTTATGAATCTAAATATTGGGGTTCTGGTTTTAGAGAAGAAAGGAGGGAGGTTTTTGTTACCCTAATCTATAGCAGGAAGTAGATCTTGGTAACCCTCTTCTTGATGGATGTAGGCATGGGTACCAAGCCATGTAAACCTTGCTATCTCTGGTGTTGGTTTGTCACTTTTCAACAATTCTTATGGCTATTGTGTTTTCAATCACTTGTACCATATTCACAGAGCATTTCCACTCCATGTTGCTTTTTCATACATTTGCTGACAGCAAGGTCTTCATCTAGGTGCATGTAATACATGAATGGGCCTGGGCTGGTACTCCAAATGATGGAGCTGCTTGGCTTCGTTTACAGAGGCTAGCTGACACGTGGCATCGGATACTTCTAATACCAGTCACAGGAGGAGTTATTGTTGGCATGATGCATGGTTTACTTGAAATATTAAACCAAATAAGGCAGTCCAGCTCTTCCCAAGGACAGGGTTTTGATTTTCTTGCTGGAGTATTCCCCATAGTGAAGGCCATCCAGGCTGCTGTAACATTGGGGACTGGTTGTTCTTTGGGTCCTGAAGGCCCTAGTGTAGATATTGGAAAATCATGTGCTCACGGATGCTCAGTAATGATGGAAAATAACAGGGAAAGGAGAATAGCTCTTGTTGCAGCAGGTGCAGCTGCTGGGATATCTTCAGGTATCTAGTCTGCTATAAATTATAATGCATTATTTGCTTGTTAGCAGTCATACATAATGTCTGTGATGCTGTTTCTTATTCTCTTGTGGATGAGCATGTCATTAACTGTTTTATTTTTCTCACATTATCCAGTGTGGTTGGTAAATTTGATGGATGCTAAATTCCCATTACAGTTTAGGATGCTTCTTTATTATGATTTAGCATACATTTTTCTCATGAACACAATGTGATGCTACATGTTCTACAGATTAGGCTGTAAATGACTATTTTCCTTGCCTTGTGTTTCGTTTCTTATTTACTCTCTGGTTTTGTATTTTTTCTTGCACCCCCAAAGCACCATAACACTGTACCCTATTCTAAAAAAGGGGAGCCTTTTTGTGAACCTTGACTAATATGTGGAAACCTTCTGAAGTCATCCTTCAACACAATAAGCTTTCAAGATCCAAATTCTTTCACATCAAAGCTTCAAAAATAAGAGACTCTGTTCATTTTAAAAGGCTCCTTTCATGATTTAAACTACTTGCACTCTTTAGGTTTTACTTCAAAGATTTAAGTATCATGTCATTCTTTCTAGGGTCACACATCAAATAAATCGTTTATAATCCGTGTCTCTGATGGGTTTTGTAAGTTGACAATATCAGTGAAGTGTAATCCTACTGGGAGGGAGTGTTATACTCTGATAAGACAATGATCACTATGTCCTATAATCTTGAACCAGGTTATCATCAATGCTTTATAGTTTAGGTCTTTTGTGTGTGTGTGTGTGTGATAAATGAAAGCTCAATGGATTACTTATCTTGATTAATTCTCCAATTATAGCGTCTAGGCAGACATTCCAAATACACATCTGTAGTTTATTTGTGCATGAGATTTATCTTGTGAAAGCTGCTTCATGCTTTCAGGTAGTCCTATTTAGTATTTACTGTACGATCGCTGCAGTACAGTCTAGGTGCCCTTTCCTAACAACCCTTTTGTTCGTGAAATTGATTGTGGGGATAACGTTGATAACAATAGGAGGAGCGGTGTTGTAGGTTCAATATTCTTTTCATTTCTACTTGCGCCAGAGACCCATGATATGATCTTGCTTTATCACAATTGGGGGGATTGTGGGTATGGAAGTAGGGTTTGCCTGTGCTCTTTGTTGACATTTAAGAATTAGGGGGTCGGGGAACATGGTACTTTGATTCCCAATGTTGACCAACTTCTTACTGTTCATGATGTTTACATAGAAGAAGCCAGCTAGTCCTATATTATATTCAGTAATAACAAGTTGCATTGAAGACTTTTGGAATAAGATCTTTGTGCTTGATTGTCCTTTCTAACTCGCATGTTTTTGAATTTTAAGTGGTCTTGACATTTCTGCTGATTGGCACTTGGCAAACAAAATTAGCATTATGAATTAGGCATGCTCTGACATCCACCTGGAGTTTTTCGGGAAGTTTCATGCATTTAGTCAATGAAATATTTAGATGAGCTTTGGCTTGGAATAAATGGATTTTCATTGTTGGTAATGGCTCGTTGTTGCCAACTTGAACATTGGTCTTCTGTTAATCTGAAACCAGTGGTAATCTATGTTATTTATTTATTTATTTGTCCTTGCAAGTAACTTACACACCTTTTTGCCCCTATGGGGACTTGAACCCTCAACCTCCACTTTGGGGGATTGGACTACAATTCTTGGTAATGGTAATATATGTTCCTTACGATAAGGATAAGCTTATTTTCTTCCTCTTTATTTTGTTTATCTTTATATTTTTTTATTATATTATGGGGGGAGGGGAAGGGGGTTGGTAAGATCTGTAAACCGGTCAGATTCGGACTGGGCCAGGGCTGATCCAACCCGAATCCGATAAGGATATTTCTCGATGCCATAACCGATGAATTTTTTTTTTTTTTAATCCGATTTGGTATTAAATTATCCGATCCATTAAGGGTGTAGTTCTTGATTTTGTTTTTGTTTATTTGTTTTTCTTTTTCTTTTGATAAAAGAAATGTCAAAAGAGATTGACAAACAATGAAAAGAATAAAAATGATGGAAAATGAAAGATAAATAAACGGGTCGGATTCAGACCAGGCCAGGGCTGATCCATTCCGAATCTGATAATTTCTCGATGCGATAACCGATTGATATTTTTTGATCCTATTTGGTATTAAATTATCTGATCCATTAAGGGTGTAGTTCTTGATTTTCTTTTTCTTTTTCTTTTTTATAAAAGAAATGTCAAAAGAGATCGGCAAACAATGAATAGAATAAAAATGATGGAAAATGAAAGATAAATTAAATATGGAAGAAAAAGGAGAAGAAAATTGGATCTTTTACTCCTTTTTAAAGAATAAACACTTAGGAGTAAGAAAAAATAAAGAGAGGGAAGAAGAAGAGGATAAAATAATGATAAAAGTATTTTGATAATATCTTAATATTATATATTATAGCATTACAATAGAACCAGAATCCATATCCGATTTGTTTAGCTAATAGATTATCGGATTCAGATCGTTAATGGATTATCGGATTAAATTTTCAATCCATATCCGAGTTATCAGATTGGATTTAGATCAAAATCTGATCCATTGTCTTGCCTGGTTTTGGGGGGGGGGGGGGGGGGGGAGGTATTCTTAAGCGTCCTAGTAAAAAATGGTGCTTGTTATCTTTAGTTGTGGCTTGTGGGGTGAAGAATTGAAATAATGACACGGGGAGGCCCTTCAGCTGTGGCATTTAGAAAAAAATTTGATGCCCGTTAATCTGTTATTACAGCTTTGGGGTGAAGAATTTAATTAAAATAGTTGCATGGTAAGACCCTTAGTCTTCTTTTCATATCTACAAATTGTTTCCAGAAAACAATATAGTATATGTATTTATATCTTTGATTGCTGTATCTTATTATCCGTATTTTTTTGTATGGAAACTTATCTTTCCCTTTAATGAGATAGATACACTGATTTTATCTTACTATTTGATTAAGAATGTGAAGTAATACAAGATGCAGTATATTGATTAATTTCCTTAACACAGTTGGAAGAATATCTAACTTCTGAAAACAACGAGTATCTTGTTTCTGTGCTAGTCCTTAAATCCTGTAACAGATGTCTCTGATTATTTCTTTTTACCCCTTCTTTTTGTTGTTCCTTTTCAGCTCTGCTTGCAATAAACAAGGGTCCTTTCTCTTCATTGTTTTTTCTGCTAATCTGTTAGTTTTGATAACCATGTGACTATGTGCTTGCACAGTTGCACTGGCTATCAAAAAAGATTTGTTTCTGCTTATCTATTTTTGTGGTGTTCAATTTATCATACATATTTTCTTTTGTACTTCAGGTTTTAATGCAGCAGTAGCTGGTTGTTTCTTTGCTATTGAAACTGTTTTAAGGCCTCTTCGTGCAGAAAACTCTCCTCCATTTACAACTGCAATGATAATATTGGCATCTGTTATTTCATCTACTGTATCAAATGTTATCCTTGGGGAGAAACAGGCTTTCACAGTGCCCACGTATGATTTGAAATCTGCTGCTGGTATTTTATCTGATTCCAGTTCAATTTATTATGATTTGAAGGCATGCATGAGTGGCGTATCTGTGATTCTGTGTATTCTCATTTCCCCCAGATTATTGTACTGCTATTTTGTTTTTAAAGAAAATATTCTCCAGTTGGTTATTTTTTGACTGGGAAGCTATTCTGTAAGAAATTTATTGTTCTTCCTGCTGAATTGAACTGTTACGTGGATATATGATTAGCATTTAGAATATTGGTTATGAAGTTTTAGACTTTTAGTGCACAGTTTGGTTGAAGCCCTCTGCCCCTCTCCCCACACGTTATGTATTAGTTTTTTGTAAGGTGCATTTAAATTGAAAAGCAGATTTTGTGTTCGTTATATTGTAGTTAAGGTTTAATTAACTGTTCTGGGCTCTATTGCACAAGTCATTTGCTGTCAAATCATTCTATAAAGAAATGCACGTTTCGTTTGTTTTTAAGCTTATCTCTTGGTAGTACATCCTTGAGTGTTCCGCACCATTTATTCTCCTTGATTTTCTCTCTTATCTTTGTTTTTTATTTTTTAATTCAAATAATCTTTTGTGGGGATATATTGGAGTGAATGTTCAGCCACATGTTGAAGTTCTGCATTCTGACAATTGAGCTACGTGCACAAACTGTGGTTTGACCACAAAGTTCAGGACAAAAGTTGGAATATAGTGACATTGGTGGTCCTTTGGTTCGGATATATATGTATTTAGCTTATGGCCAATCCCAAATAGTTGGAACAATACTTCATTGATCATGAGTATGCATGTTATCTTCTTCACATGTCACTTGAACAAAATAATGTATAGTGGGAATTGTAAAAACCCAATCTGACAGGCAGCTCCACACATCAGTTCCACTAGAATTAACAGGAAAATTTGTTCTCCCCTCTCATCTCAACACAGGACGAACTTCTTCATCAATTTAAAAAGAAAAATAAGAACAACAGAACATAGCAACCTCAACAATTGGGGGTATATGACGCATCTTATTAGCTAGACCATGTTATTCATTGAATCAAATAATTCTTGCTCTATGATTTTATTAGGATGTTCTTATTATTGATACTGCAGTGTATATCTGTGAACCACCTAGTTAGGCTTGGTAACCCTCCTAGTTAATGGCCCCCACATCTTGTGGAGATTTGCAAGGAAAGGGAAAGGGCTACTTAATGCCCAAAATTCGGTAACAAATACATTTCTGTTTTCGCTTGAGGCATGAATTAGCTAGGTACGCATTTATGTGTGTTTATGTGTCGATGCAATTGATACTGGATTTAAAATAGCGCACAATGATAAAATACAGAAGTTATGTCTGCATATCTCTTGTTTAACTTAAGTATTGGATTTTTGTTTGTCGAAATTTGAGATCTGCTGCTCTTCCTTTGCAGAACTACCTTTGTACCTGATTTTGGGTATGCTATGTGGGATAGTAAGTGTAGCTTTCACTCGCTTGGTAAATTGGTTCAGCAAGGCATTTGAGTTTATAAAGGAAAAATTTGGCCTTCCAGCTGTCGTATGCCCTGCATTAGGTGGTTTAGGAGCTGGCATAATAGCTCTCAAGTATCCTGGCATACTTTACTGGGGTTTCACTAACGTTGATGAAATCCTACATACCGGGAAGAGTGCTTCAGCACCTGGAATTTGGCTACTAGCTCAGCTAGCAGCTGCAAAAGTTGTGGCAACGGCTCTGTGCAAGGGATCTGGGCTTGTAGGTGGCCTATATGCACCAAGTTTAATGATTGGTGCTGCTGTGGGTGCTGTTTTTGGGGGTGTAGCTGCAGAATTAATCAATTCAGCCATTCCTGGAAATGCTGCTATTGCCCAACCACAGGCATATGCACTGGTAACACTTTTCCATTGTAGAAGGCTTATGTTAACATGTACAAGTACTCTTTGCTCATAATTTTTTATTGATCGTTCAAGATTAATTTTGATTAATTGATGTTAATAGAACTTTTAAATCCTACTGCAGGTTGGGATGGCTGCAACATTAGCTTCAGTTTGTTCAGTACCCTTGACATCAGTTCTACTTCTGTTTGAGCTGACAAAAGATTATATGATCTTGCTTCCTCTCATGGTAATTCTTCCATGACATCGCTTGATAAATATTCAGGTGCACTCTTTAATGTCTGTATGGAAGTCTTTGAGGCTACCTTGTAGTGATGAAGTCAGATTAAGGCAAGATGTAGCTAAGTTTACCTCCATGAGAACATATTATCATCTAATGTCTTTCCGTCGACTTGATTTAATGGGTTTGCTATGTCTAACACTCTAATCATATAAGGAAAGTGAAAATTTTCCGTTTTAAGCATTTAAGGAATGGCAAAATGCACATATTCAGAACCTAAAGTAAACTTGCATTCTTGGAAGGGTAAAGGGATTTTGCAATATAGCTATATTGAGGTGTGGTTGCTTGAGATAAATTTATTATTTCCATTTTCCAGTAGACCACTTAACTCTCAAGGTTGGCAAGAGTACCCTTTTCTCTCACATGGGAGGTTGAGGGTTCAGTTCCGCATTGGGGCAATACGGGGCACGTGCGTGCTTACCTACCAAAAAGGAAAAAATAATGAAACCTGATGGGTTTAGCTGTCAGTAATGCGGAAGTTTCAAAAATCTGTATATTATGGGTTTTAAATGTAACACCGTTACATAATCCTTGGGACATGAACCACTTTACTTACTAATTTCTCACAGCTAAATCTCATATGACTTTCTGAATTGGAGAAACTCGTCATGTACGCATATAACTCAGAAATAATTTAAATACAGAAGTATATTTTTTTTTCTTTGGGTGGGGGGGAAATATGGTGGATATCTGCACCTCCTTTGGAACTGAGATTATTCCTTTGTTTGCTTTTTTGTATTTTAAACTAATACATGCGCACAACGGGATTCTAGAAGCTCTGAATGTTTTGTATGTATGCATTCACACTTCTGTTAACTCACAAATATTTTGGATCCTTATATAATTTATCATTTAGTTATATTCAAAATCCGTTGTTAGATGCTCTATTTTTTATTTTATTACATTTGGGGTTATAAATTGGAAAAAGTGCAATAATTTTGTAGCCTTTAATTATTATTTTTATTTTTTATAATTATTTTCATTTAGCTTTTTTGAATAAATTTAAGCTATGCAGTGGTAATATTATTGTTCAACTATATGACTTGGTAATTGACCCAACACCTGGCCTCTGCCCTGTTAAAATCTGGTGTCAGTATACCTTCTATGCTTGATTATCTTATCCTGTCTTATTTTGTGAAACATTTTCTAAATGCCTACTGATATTGTTTGAAAGTCACAAATTTAGTTCTAGATTTAATAGTTGTCTATTGTTGTAACTCTTTGGGGCAATGCATTTTAATATTTGCCCATTGGTGTAAATTTTGCACACAGGGGGCTGTTGGATTAGCAATATGGGTGCCCTCTGTGACAAACCAGTCGAAGGAGAATGAGACATCTGACGCAAAGAGTTTGCCAAGTGGCTATTCTGTCCTTCGGCCAGTTGAAGATAAAAACGAAGGTATTTGGAGACAATCTGGTGATGCAAATGATCTAGAACTCTCTGTTATAAGGAATTCTGCTAACAATGAAGCAATTGATGAAGATATATTTCTGGACGAACTAAAGGTTCAAAATTTTCTCTTTTGTTTTTCGGACTACTTGGCTTGCTTGGACCATGTGTTTTGTTATCTAATTATTCTTATTTGTGGCTCAACTTCCTTAGATATATTTCCCTTTTCTAATCAGGTTTCTCAGGTCATGTCAAAGAACTATTTGAAGGTTTCTCTGACCCTAACCTTGAAGGAGACAGTAAAATGTATGCATGATGGCCAACAGAAATGCGTGCTTGTGGTTGATGCTGAAGATTTTCTAGAAGGAATTTTAACATATGGCGACATTAAACGGTTTCTATCCAATAAGTCTGGTGATGCTCCTGAGGTCCGTTCATCTCTTCTGGTTGTATGTGATGTCAGTTGAAATGATGATAGGCTTCAATTGTGGTTAAAATTTTATGTAGATATAAATCTTTGTTAATTCAAAGTTATGTTTCCGCCTTCTTTCTTGTTCTTGTTTCTACTCTTAAGAGATGATCTATACTTATTTGTGCAACATTTATTTTATTACCTTCTACAGTGATAATTCTTATACCTGAAATTATTGCAGGTAAATACTTGTCTTGTTTCTTCTATCTGCACTCGAGGAATAAACTATCGTGGGCGTGAGTGTGGACTTCTGACTTGTTATCCAGATACTGATTTGACAATTGCTAAGAAGCTAATGGAGGCAAAGGGGATAAATCAGTTGCCTGTGGTTAGGCGTGGTGGAGAGTTCCAAAAAGAACGAAAGCGCAGAATTGTTGCTATTCTTTATTATGATTCAATCTGGAACGCTCTCAGGTATTAATTGCTTCTGTTTCATGGTTAAATGGTATCACTTTTTTTGTTTTCCCATTTCCTATTCTTGATGCATATTTCCCTGTTTCAAACTGTTTAATGTATGAGTCAGTATTGATCTTTTGAATGACTACTGGCACTAGAGCTGGCATAATCTGACCTGGACTCATAAACCTTCTTGTGATTGGTTCCGTCAAAACGTTTAGCTAATATTATATGTTCCTTCCTCTTTTATTTATTTAATTTTTTTTTCAAGGATCTTGTAATATCACAGGCGGTTGTGTGTTGGACCCACAATTTATGTTTAGGATTTGAGGTTCTGTTTTGAACTTGGCTTGAATTCCAATTGGCCAGTCTATTTTTCTATACGACTGTATTCAAATAGTATATGGGTGAAAGAGCTAATAAACAAAAATAATTACCAAAAAGGTAAAAGTACTCTTTTGGTCCAAATTGCCCTAAGCTACTTTAAAATTTCCATCCACCTCATCTCTCTACAAGGAAATCCTTGCTTCCCTTTCTCTCTGGTTCCGGCAACCTCTTCCTTCACGTCACCCACTCTCTCTCTCTCTCTACTTACTTTCTCTCACTACTGCCGAAGTCATATAAACAAAAAGTAACACTCCGTTCGGTCTCGGCCGCTTGCTTCTGGGTTTTGTCGGAAACGGCGAGGGAAAGCTTGACAATGGTACTCTGGACACAGCCGGTTCGGTCTCTGGTTCAGACCGGGTTCCTGCAAAATTACTGGTTTTGTCCTGAAAACTTCTGGCAGGACGCAAAAGAGGCGACTTCGAGACAGAATCGTCACAAATTGAGACAACCATTCAATATCCTCCACATCATCTACCTGTAAAAAAAGGTCTTCGTTATATATAATTACTAATAATTAAACCATAAAAAATACCCAGAAAATCAAATTTTTGGTAATAAAATTGTTACTGGAACTGCGAGTTCGCCGGCAGTGAGAGACCCAGAATTGCTGGTGCCAGAAAAATTGGAATTATCATCACTGACTCGGTCTTGAGACGATAAGAAAAAAAAGTCCTTTTCTTCTTTTAATTATAATTCTCCAACAGACCATTTTGAAATCCTTACCAGACATCCACTGAGAAATCATCACACGAAACACCATTAATTGCATTCAAACACAACAATTCATCAAGCAACACTTGTTGGGTCGATTTCATTGCTAATTCTCTTGAAAAACTTGACTTCAATGCTCTTGCTTTGATGCACTCCATTCCTAATCTCTAATTCTCTAAACCAACCTTACAAAATTTCAAAAAGAAATGTTAAAAAGAATCAAATTACTAGACTATTTTTTTAGCTCAAAAGGCACATGTTTATATATGTATAGAAATAATTCCTCAAAAATGAAGGAATTGAAGAGGAAGGTGTGAGAAATTGCAGAAAATTAAGGGATGGAAAAAGTAAGAGTTGCAAACTGTTGATTAGGGGCGCCATTGTGTCCAATGAGCATCCTCTGTGGTGCACTCTTCATGTGGCAATGTGGTGGTGGGAGGTGGGTGTGGTCGGTGGTAGTGGTGGTGGTGGTGGTGGTTGTTGTTTATGAATGGTTTGGAAGTCATTTTACAATATGTGAAGGGTAATTTGGACTCAACTGTTTACGTCTTTGTCAAATATTAATTACTAATGTAAAGTTGTCGTATTTGTAATATACACTCAATTCTTTTTTAATATGGTCACTTTTATAATATTGTAAATATAAGTTGTCATTTATTAAACAATCCCATAAATGAATCAGAAATGAGGTTGAAGTTGACTTAAGTATGGCCTTAATGCTTATTTGTGCTGCTCAATTCTTGAACCTTGTTCGTTTTTAATTTATTGAATTGATAGTTGAATGAGAGAAAACTAGAAAAATCAATAAGCAAGGTATAATGTCGTCCAGGTTTACATTTTTTTCTGTCATGATATGATTTGATTATATAGATGTGCCTATCTTATCATCAACTTTGCCATACTGATTCCTACATATATTGTGCAGAGACGAGATCGATCACCAAAAATCACTATATCAGCAGAGAAATGACAATCTTGAGTTGGTGATAACAAATGGTCATTAGTGCAATCATAGAGCGTCAAAAATCAAGTTTCACGAAACTGAAGTTGGAAGTAAAGATCGTCATTCATTTTTGGGAATCCAAATGTGTATTCTTGGGCGTGTTTTATTAATAGATAAGATCGTCGTAATGATGAATCTGACATACGAAATCATTCCTTATGTAATTTAGCCACAGCATATTTGTATATGTAGATCACTCACAATTTAGTTGTTAGCAGACATTTGTTTGAGAAAAATGAAAATACGCATCAATAGTAAAACCGAAAGCTGTATTTTCTGTGGAAAATTTCTTTGATGCCTATTTAGGCTGTTATTTGTGGATACCTTTACAAATATTCGACACGGATGGACTGAAAACAAAGGAAGCTTTCAGTTTTAGTCGACTGACTGCCGATTAATGATTTGTCTTTCCGTGTTCGATAGGATTGGCAGAGTTGTCTTGTCTCGCTACGTGCTTGGGGAAGTTGGGGCGGGGTTGGAGCGAAGAAAAGTAACCCATGAATAAGAGAACGTTCAGGTATTTGTTCTCACCCTCACTCCGTTAAAAATATTAATCTCCATCAATCATTAATAGATAAATTAAATTTAGGATAAATTATACAGATCTCCCTTGAAGTTTTATCAACATACACAGATTTCTCTTTCTGTTTGTCAAATTACACCGACCTCCTTAAAATTTGTATCTTTGTAACACTGGATATCTTTCCTTAAGAGCCCGTTAATAGCCAACTCAGCCAACAATGATGTAAGCATTTTTTTTAATCAAAGTTTTCAATAATACCCGCCAACTCAGCCAACAATGATGTAAGCATTTTTTTTAATCAAAGTTTTCAATAATACCCTTTTCATTATCTTCTTGATCATTGAAAATACATCAATACCCGCCCACCTTTATATTGCCCACCTCTATATTGTATAATTGGTAAAAAGTCAAACCACAACTTGCAAGTTTTATTTCTTTCCCCAATTTTCTCTCCTTTCTCAGCTTCACCCTAATCTCTATTTTTCTGTCTCCTCTCATCTTCTCTCAGCCCTTTCAACTCAAAACCAAGATCTGGGTCGTCATCAGCGTGCCCAACAACCAGCTCCTCGCAGTTGGGTTCTCCAACGCCACTGTCGCCGCCTGGATCGGTCGAAATGTCGCATGTGATGCATATATCTCAGTGTGTATATATATATATGAAGCCGCAACATAGAGCCCGCCCAACATAGATAAAACGGGGAAATTAAAAAGAAAAAGAAAAAGAAAAGAATAAGAGGTGTTCAAGAAAACTATTAATCCAGACTAATTAGAAGATAGAACTCAACAAATAATTTAAGATAAAAAAAAAAAAGAAAAAAAAAACAAAGAAATCAACAAATTGAGTTTTAGGACGATATAAAGGTGAGAGTTTTCTATAACCCGTGTTCATAAAAGTATTGACTATTAACTATATATCCACGGGAGATGGAGTCGGAGGAGGTCAGGCAGTCACCGGAATCGTTGAAGTAAGTTTTGGGCCTTTTTGTCTTTTCAAACTCCATTGGGTATTTCAATATAACAGTTAATGTCATCTGTCCAAAAGTTTTGACGGGGAAAATGCCAGTCTTATTTGATAAATAAGAAGGGAGGTTAGTATATGATGACGAAATTTTAGGGGAGGTGTAATTATTCCTTAAATTTATTACATAAAATTGTGATAAGTTTTATTTTTATTTTTCAAATCTATAGTTAAAATATGGTAAATTCCATGTGTATCTTATCATAAAATACTACGTGGCTCAATTGGAGCCCTGAAAAATGTCGCACTACTAAATCTTATGTCACCTATCTATGAATGCACATTAAACGTGTTTGATCTTAGTTTGAAAGAACAAATCACTACACTCTCGGTGATGTGTTGGCCACTTGCTGTCACATCTTGTGATAAAAAGACTTAAAAGTCCACTCTCCACAATAAATATATAGTATAATATTCTTTTCATTTTGCGAGAACTGTAATTATTATTGTAACAGGAGTTACAAATATTGTTTTTTTTAAATGAAATTTCGAAGCATTAGCTATTAAATTCTTCGGCTTTTGTGGTCCAAACGAAAGAAGAAAGAGGTAGAAAAGCACTTGTCCAAACAAAACTATTTGTCTGACTTTTGGGAATTAAATTAAACTAAAATTTGCACATTCAAATTCCAACTACCCAGAGGGCAGCTTAATTATTAATGTAAATTGAAGAACTGCATTATATTAATGATATTTCAAAATCTATCTCAAGGAATTTATTAGAAAAGATTATAGAATATTATTATTTGTGTTTACTTTTTACCTAACTATTTATGATGTTGGTGGTATCTAAAAATCTAGGAGGCAGATCGACAAAATGACAAATTAAAAGTGGCCCACTTGAAAGGCATTCAGTCTCAATAAAGAGTAATGAAAGCTTTCACCGTGCAAACTCCACCATACACATTCCATCCACCAATGCCAAATTATCACCAAAATATTAACGGCTACGGAACAAATAGGGTTAAAGAATAAAAAAAGATGTGGAGTACTGACTACCCTCGTGCAAGTGCATATATATATATATATATATATAAAGACTTATCTGCATACATCAATGAGAATTTCATTTTCCGTGATTTGTCTTTGACCGAGTCATCCTTCATCAACGAAGGAAAAGAAAAAGGAAATAAAGATAAATAGAGAGAGAGATAAAAGAAAATATGAAAATGAGGCACGTGGTGTGTCCTTTGTGTATTATTTTGGTAGGACCCACGTACCCAAAATTATATATCTAAGCTTCAAAAGAGCTGCTGTACTTACGATGGTGGAGGATTAAGGTAGTGGTCACCTTTCATCACATGCAATAATACAAACCTTTGGCTTAGCATGAGAAAACAGAAAGAAGAAGCACCATTATTCAGTTCTCTAGAACTGTTTATGCCGGCTTCTGCATGTGCATGTGTTTTTCATTCTTTATGATTTACTGACTTTTTCTCATACTTTCTGTGGTGAAGGATCCATCGATTCAATTAAGATGTTTGTCATTTCTTAATTAACGGAAAAGTACTGTTACTTAAAAGACTTCAGCCCATGTAATTGCGTTCATGCATTATGGTCGGATTCAGAGTATGTAAACGGTTCAGAATTACAGTATTTTGTTTATATATCATTATTTTAGATAATTGATAACGCCAATGATGCATAATGGTTGGATTCTGATTGAATCTCACCACAATGCATATCACATATGTAAAAAATTTAAAACTAAAGTCTTCTACTTAAATATTGCTATTTTAGTTGTATTCACGAGAAGACTTAAATATCATTATTTTACATATATTCACGTGAATTGAATTCAAGTGATATCTCTTCTTTTTTCTTTTTCGATAATAACTTCTGTGCAATTTCATCTCATTTTAATATCTCACTTTTCTTTCGGTTGGAGTAGTCTTTTGGCATAGAATTCTTTTATTTTTTTTGACAAATATTTTCCTTTAATGAAAATATAAATGTTTTAACCGAGGAAAAAGCTTGCTTAAAAATAAGCACATAAAAATGGTTCTTCTAAGCATCTATAATTGTCATGAAAACAAAGGTTCCTCAAGGTAATTAAACTTATTAGTAGTCAAAGCCTGCTTATACACTAGTTTACAGAAAGCTTTGGCATTGCCTACACAGAGGCCTCAGAAAAGTTGAATATAACGCATTTTCACTACATTTGAATATATAGAAACTTTCTCAAAGACAACCCCTTCAGAGCTCATCTGCTTGATCAAACTGCTGTGCTTGTTGCCATCGAAAATCAGTTTCAAACATCATTAAAAAAAGAAAAGAAAAAGAAAAGTGTGAAACCCTGCCAAGTGCAAATAGGTACCGCATGAAAATGCTTGCTGTTCATGATAAGCTGGGAGAATAATACAATGCAGACCTCTGGTGACCTGTTGAGGACAACGGAGCTGTTAAAGAACTCGGATGCAGTATGCTTGAGCCTTCCAAAGTACAATTCCACTTGACAGGAATTGCATTTGCTCTCCTAGAAGGCGGCATTTGAAAGCTAGGACTGTATAACATTGGTGATCCACCGGGAGAACAATCATGTGGTGAACAACTGTAGAAAGAATTTACATGCCTTGAACTATAATCAGAAGCCATTGGAATTGAACTGCCAGCTGAACTTACCCAACTCCTCTGCGTTCCTTCACTGTAAGTAGTTGCATCAGTAGCTGAATCTGGTTCACTTTCAGGGCTATCGTCAATGATGATGATATCCTTAATGAGGCTGGGGGAAGAATTTGCATTCCTGTTTTGGGGATGATCGGGAGTTGTTACAAATTTCTTCTTGGATCTTTTTCGTTCATCTGGAAAATTGTAAACACCCTTGTAGTCATGCGGCTCCCCACCACCCACATTCTCGTTTGGAAACATGGCCGCTGAAGTGTCAATGGGCGTTTGTGTTGAGTACTTACCATCAACATGGCTTCTGAAACTATTTGAGAATCTGACATCAAAACCTTGCCCCATTGTGTTGTGTTGATTCTGGCCAAAATGTGGATTTTGATGGACCATATAATCAAAGGAATGGAACTCCCTATTTTGAACATTGCCAGGAGAGGCTTTAGCAAATGTTTGAAACTGCGAATTTGGATGATTATTCAGGATAGCTGACTGGGCTTGCGTGAGTCGTGGAGACAAGTTCTCATCTTTGTTGACCACCATTAAATTTTTCCCCATGAGCCTGAGAACAGGAGTAGAAGCAGATGGTACTCTAGCAAAATCAAAATCACCATCAGTTGGGAACTTAAGACCAGAATTGGCAGAAAAAACTTTCTTAGGAATGAGTCCTGCGGGTGAATTCATGATAGGATTTGCCACATTTTCAGATTTTGAACTTGGGAAATTGCTGAGAGTAAGCATTTCAGGCCTCGAGTTCAAATAGCTGGGTCTTTTATTCAGATCACAACTCATTTGCTTTCCCATTGCAAGTGTCACCGGAGCCATATTTCGTTGAATTGGAAGCTGTGACTCTTGATGATTTAAAGCAACACCCTGAGAGGTTCCCTCCTTCCGTGAGCAACAGCATGGCTGATCATTTTTTAAATTGAGAGGTCCCTTATTAGGGAAGATTGCATTGACTTTCAACTCATCTAGATTGTTACTTTCTATTCTCATGGTGGCTGTATTTAGAACTGTGGAAATATTTTCCGCTTCTGTATCATGGCTCGAGCCCGAGAAGCCAGATCTAATATCATCCAGAGTGACTTGAGCACCTACATACTTTTGCTCCAAAGATTTTGAATCAGATGTCACCAAAGTAGAGTTAGAAATGGTTGATGTTGCAGAAATAGGAGAATCTGATGAATCTCTATCGAGCAGATCATGATAATCTTCAGTAATTTGAACCTGGCTGCTGGTCGATGATGAATTTCCTTGAAGTTCTTCTGCACCTATATCTCCAGGACTTGGCAAAAATGATCCCGGGGGTCCTGGAATAGATATTGGATCATCAACAGAAAAGCAGTTTCCTTGCCCAACTTCACAATCCAATTCCCTACCCTTGTGAATGTTCAGCCCAATCATACCCTCACCAACTGCATTGGCATAAAACATCTCTTGTCCATCACCCGATCTTGGCTGAGGACTTATTGGTGATTCAGAACCACATAAAGACCCCTTACATACTTTAATACATTGCATTGAGTTGGACTGGGTATAGGAAGGACTAGACAGCTTGTTGAATTCACGATCTGAAGATCTGCTCAAACTCATAACACTCTCCCCAAAAGCTATCCTGGAGGATGATGGTTCGACAACAATGTCCTCCCAATGAGTTTGAATTCCTGTTCCAGCAGATTCTCTGACATCAAATTTACCAACTCTAACAGAAGAATTTCTTTTGTTTCCCATATCATGACCACAATATTGAGATGCTGAATTTGAACTCTTCAAGACCACGGCTTCCTCCCTTTGAGAGATACTTGCTGCTCTCTTTTTCCTTATTTTCAAAACACCACGTCTGCCAAGAGACAGTACCTTGTCAGTTATGTCTTCTACTCTAGATTGAGTTTTAGGATGATTCTGCATGGAATCATGTTCAATCACTTCAGAAGTCCACGCCGCTACCTCTTGATCTGATTCTTCTACCAAATGCACCCTTGACTTTTTAAGGGCTGAACGCTTTCCCCTCAAACTACAGTTGGACTCAGGCACAGATGATCGCTTTAGTGACAAAATATCCTTCTTCAACGAGGAGAACCTCGTGGCTTTTGATGAGAATGCATACTGACTCTGGGAAAGTAGATCACTTTCAACTAGCAAGCCCTGTGTCAAATTGTGCCCCAAATGCTGAATGCCTTCCTTGGAAGTGGTCTTCTTTGTGAAACCTGTTCGCTTAGAGCATACCCAATTCCTTATAGTTCCTGAATCACTGGGTTTAATCTTCTCTTGAGCATTGAACGGTATCAAGTATTCCTCTTTATCACATTTTTCTTCCACTGCACACGTTTTTTCTTGGCCTCTACGAATCTGTTTACCAACAATTGAAGAACCATTGCTGTAACTCTCATATTATTTACATTGCAAAAGAGAAAAGGAAAGGAAAAACTGAAGCATTTGAATTTTAATGCAATTGTAGTAAAATGAACGATCGAAGACGGTTGAATGACTAATAAAATTCAATAAGTACACTAAATACTCAAGCTCAAGAACTCTTATGTATACTATAATCCGATATTGTTTTATCTTTTGACTGGATATTGTAGGATAAAAAGGAGGAACCAAACCATACACCCTTCCCCTTCAAAGAAGATAAATAGATTAATGAATAAAGGTATCAAAAATGAATCAGTGGAACCAATTTAAAGCTACTGCAGCATGAAAAACAAAATTCCTTCCAAGATGTAGCATGCCTTAGGATTCTTAAGCTTTTCATGACATTTATAAAAACAAATGACATTTATTAATCCATAAGATATATGGCAGACCACCTTGTGGTCCTTGTGGAGATATTTCAGTTCAAGAAATAGAAAATATGAGTTCGAGGAAGAACAATTATAATCACTATCAGAAAAATGGAAAACAGAAGACGTATATAAGATGCAAGAATGATGTACCTCAGAACCACAATGGGCCTTAGAGTAGCAAAAAATATTCCTCTGAGAGACAAGTTTCAGGTATTTTTTATGTTTCTGCCCACGATGTTTCTTCTTGATGGTTAAGATGCTTCCTTTTCCACTTTTCAAAACTTTACGAAATCTAGAAACAACTCCTGCTTTTGAGACTGTTGATTTATTGAATTCGGATAAAATCCGAACTTTCTTGCCATTGGCATCAACATAGACTGCACCCTCATTATCAGTGTCCTCACAACTAACAGGTGACACTCTTTGCCTCTTCTCTACACGAGCACACAATTCGGTCTCTTGGGTAGGCAAGTTTGAGTTAATAGCCCAGCATGTCCCATTTCTTTTATCAAGCTCTTCCAGTGTGCACCTTAAGGCAGTTGCATAGATATCCACCATCAACCTCGTCTTCCTTGGTTTTATTCTATGTTTGTTCATCTTACAATCAGCCGTCCACTTAATAGTCGACTCCACAGAAAGGCACTGATCGATGTGAGCATTCAAGGTGGTGTTGGAAGAGGAAGAGAAAGTCTTGCAAACGGGGCACACTTTTGAAGTCATTGTTTGTGAAAATGTCATACAATTCGATGCCATATCTTCGTTTGAGCTAGGATCCCTGATGCTACACAGTTTGACTGTCAATTTACACTTTTTAAACGGAGGTTGGGTCGTGCTTCCTTTCTTGTTGGATGCAAGAGGGCTTACAGCCTCGGGTTCTATTGCTCCAACTTTCAATGAAGGATCAGTTTTCAATTCCGAGCAATGGGTCCTATTACAGTGAGTGGAATCAATTCTAGAATGAGGTTGACTGCTTGTCGTTGATGGAATTTCTTTCTCTCTTTCAGATCCGACTCCGCCTATGTCACAATCTGCAGCTAGCTTTTCTTTGAAACCCGCATTGTCAGAACTGATTGTGTCCAAATGACAAGTTGGCGTAAATGGCTTCCCATTGAAATTGTTTATGTTTTCCTCATCAAGCATACTAGATTCAACTGTGCATCTCTTGACGGACCAATTCTTTGCTGAATCAATATGCTGAAAAGGTGGCAACAAATCTTTCACGCCATGTTCCAAACATTGTTGCAGATTTTTTTGAGAAAATGGCCAATTAGTCTTGATATCCTTGCTCCTCACACTAAAAACATAATCTCTGCAGCCCAAACAACCAAAATATCTTCAGATGATATTCAATAAGCTATTCCAAATTTTAGAAGCTCGAATCATTAATTATTATAACTTTAACTCAACACAGCTATATTTGGACAAAAGCTATATGGACCATGGGAATTAAAATCACATTAACTATAGAGAAACAACTAAAACTAATGGAGAATTTGCAAGGCTATTGTATGATCTAATAAACTCAATATATCAACAAAGAGATGCATGAAATCATATAGAAATTATGATTAAAAAGAGGTAAACATTAACTAAATTTTCTAGGTTACAAACAAAGCCACAACTTGCTAAGAGTAAGTTTACAATTAAGTCAAATCAAGTCAACAAAAATTAGAGACAAGATGAGTTTCTTAAAATCTGAAAACTGAATCACAATCATCAAAATGTAGCTGTGGATCTGACCCAAGAAGGCTACAGAGATGACTTGGAAGATAAACATGGGAAAGACCCAGTCCTAGTCCTAGAGTCATGACAAAACAATCCAAGTAGCAGCACATATAAGAAAGTAATTACCTTATGGAGAACTTGGGGAGTACTACTGAGTTGTTGTCATGATCAAAGCCTGACTTCAACAGATCTACCTTATCATCAAACACCCTTTCATCACTACTTTTCAGCGGTGAGATTTCACAAGGACATGGGGGATCTGGTGGTGGGTTTTCAATGGATAACATCTGATGATAAGTTTCTCCCTCCTTGTGCTGTCTTGCCAACAGTCACAATAACTTCTATCTCCACAACAAGGCCTTATCTTAGCCTTCAGCATATATATACACATGTATATATATATATATTACAATACACCTCTCACAAACTAAAAACCCCACCACAAGCACCAACCAGTAAGATCAAACAAACCCACTTGAAAGATGGCCCTCATCTTCATCCATCATCCTGCAACATGTGAGAAGAAGATGTGAGGAGATTAAGAGTTTCAAGACAGACACAGAAAAACAAAAGCAGATAATAAGTAGATTATATATGGACCCCTCTTGAGCGTTATTTTATGTACTTGCTTGGAAGGAGTAAATTTGAAGCATCTATTTGTGCTGATATCATCCCACCCACACTCTTTGATAGTTTGATTGAACAATTAAAGAACAAATTTGACCAAGAACCAATCGGACAAGTAAAGATATGATTAAAGATTAAAGTCTATGAAGCGTTATTTTATGTGGGTTAGACCCAGAAAAAGTATCTGAAATAGGGAAGCTTGTGGAGATGAAGAAAGAAACAACCATGCACTTGCACACAATCAAAGCTATAAAAGAAAAAATCAACATGGAGATCAAGAACCTCACACTCACAGATAGAATAGAAGTTAAAAATTAAAGCCTCCCCCGAGAGATCGAATATAAAGAAAAGGATTGAGATCATAGTTAGATGAAGATAAGGACACCCAAATCGAAGCTATGTCAGCTAAGTGAACAATAGGACATGATCATACAAATCTAGTAAAAAAACCCACAAAACAGATTTGTTTAATTTGGTTGAAGAAAATAAACAGACCACAAAGTTAGATCACTTGAAGTTTGGGTGTTCAAACTTGAGGAGTATGCATTCCAGCTAAAAACATGTATACAACAAAAATAAGATCAAACTGGGAATAGAGGAAAACCCTTGAACAAGAACCAGCACCCATTTTAGGAAGAAAAATAACCTATCAAAAAACCAATTTATAGCAAAGGAAAACAAAACCCACAATCAAATAGATAGCAAAAGCTGAAAATAACACAAACCTTTGAATTAAGCTCTTATTGGGGATATTTTTAAACAGAAAATGAGAGAGAAAATGAGGTCAAGACTAGAGAGAAATAGAGGTAGATATGGGATATAGCAGAATAGAAATGAGAGAGAGAGATAGAGAGAGAGAGTTGAGAAAACAGCACCACCCACTCACACATCAAAAGGGGCATCAGGTTCTTCTCCCACCAAAAAGCAGGTTTGTACCATTAACAGCATGATTCACCTCCTTGTGAATATGCGTGAGTAAGAGAGAGGAGAGAGAAAAGAGTGTGAGAGATAGAGAGAGAAAGGAACAGAGAGCTGTTCCTCTACAAAGCTGTCCTATCCTATACCTACCTTACAGTCCTCAACTTTTCTCCATTCTTTATTCTTAGATCTTTATCATGTATGTGCTAAATATCAGTTTTAGCCCCTACTTCCTAACTAATTACACACAATAGCACTCAGTTTTATGTTATTGTTAGCAATCACAATCACAACCACATTGAAATTGCAACTTTTTTTATTCACTCAAATGAAAAGAAAAAATTGCCATTGAGTTCTATTTTAATTTTTTAGTTTAATAACTAACAGATCTTAAAAAGTTTTAATAGACTATTGCTTTTCAAATGGAAGCATTTTACCTTTGTTTTTTTTTTTTTTTCTCACTCAAAATGTTGTTTCATAAAACTGAAATTTAGATATTGAAAATTTTCATGACTGAATTTTAAGTATAGGAGATTTAAGTAGTATTTGTAAATTAAATTTAAAAAAAAAAAAATTGAGTGTCTAATATTCGGTAATAAGTGAAGTAATTATCACTTAAAATCTTAACTCATTTTCAGTGACATTTATTTTTGCGAGTGATATTTAAATTGCTTTAAAAATGAATTTAAATGAATAAGGACTTAATTCATTCAAAATTAAGTGTTATTTTTTTATGAATAAAGAAATTAATTGATAAATTGAGTTATCGGCTATAGATACTAACTACCGATAAAGAAAAATTTATAGTTACAGGTTAGGAAAGTGTATACAGAATTTGAAACATTAAAACTAATATGATTTTATTTATTTATTTATCAAAATGTAAGATTTAATAGTCTTATTCAAAATTGAATAACTAAAAATTTACAAAAACAGAGTAATAATAGAGAATACACTCTTTACTAAATGGTTAATTTCCCCGACACCCATTCAGATTTGGCCAAAAATCATTCTCAAAGGTCTTTCGAAAATAACTGTCACTTATGTTACAAACTTTTATTTCATTTTTCATTCACACCCTAACCTTTAGTTGAACAGTTTTGACATGATATAAAATGACTTAAATACCTTTTAACTTTATCAAAACAACTCTTTAACCTAAACAATTAGATTAAAAGACTAAAATACCTCTAAAATTTTGTAAATATTTATATATATACACCAGACATATATATATGCACGTATATATATATATATATATATATTACACAAAACATATATATTCCTCTCTCTCTCCACCACTGTACCTCTTTTTCTTCACCACCACCGTTCTTCTCTCTCTACCAGCACAATCACCACCGTTCCTCTCTTTCCACCAGCACAACCACCACAGTTCCTCTTTCTCCACCACCACCACCATCACCGTTCCTCTTTCTCTACCACCACCACCATCACCGTTCCTCTCTCTCCCTACCACCACCACTGATTCTATAACCCAACCACCAAAATTAAAACAAAATAAATTTTGCCTAAATTCATCATATGTCTTCGAGATGTCAACACACACAGAGCCTCGAGTTGTGATACCTCTCGGATCCGAGACGCGGGTTGATCAGGTCCGAGCCCAAACCCTAGGGATATCGAACAATTAAAGTATTTTAAATCGAACATGGAATACAAAGTGAAATAAGGAATAAAATTTAATAGCTGGAAGAAACTAAATTAATAAACCTTGAATTATAAATATTTTAAATCCGATAATCCAAGCCACCAATCCATACAACTCGGGAATCCTTCTAAAGGACCCCTAATAAAAAGTCTCGAACTGGAAATAAAACATAAAGCTAAACATAGAGAGCGGTCTTACGTAGTCGGTGGAATGGAAGTCTGTATCTGCTCTGCACTATCAACCTCTAATTCTGGAACTGCCGAGCACTTGAAAAATAAAAGTGTGGGTCAGGCCCACATGCAAGTCCTGATCTACTACGATTCAAACAGTAATCCGATATGCATATACATCCTAGAAAGACTCAACAATATCTAGAGTAGTCCATATATGTATATATAGTACACACTATAGGACGCTCGCTAGTCCAGTAGGTCTATCTCAGCCTGAATAGAAGGTAACATGCAAATACGCACCCTAAGGTGGGCATGAGTACCTAGACCTACCAGGGGACAACAGCTATGTCCAGTTATCCATCCTAGGCGATATACGCGCCCTAACCATGGTTCTGAGACTCAAGCTCATACCATGGCACATATAATAAATATATAAAATCCGTACTCCTAATACAAAATATCATCCATCTGTATAGTGGTCTGATATATGTATAATAAATTCATCTTGAAACCATAACAGGTCATTCAATTTATTTGATTGACATGACACAAGCAGGTGATGGACTTAACCTTTATGGTTAATTCATACCTTAATCCAAATTAGGTAGGACTTAGTGTTTTGAACTAATCCATTCCCAATATAGGTAGGTCTTAGTGTTTTGAACTAAACCATCCCTAATATGACACCGTCCCATACCGGTTCATATATATCCATATAAGTAGGACTTAATCTTTTTATGGTTAATCCAACTCATTCCAAATTGGTAGGATTTAGTGCTTGAGCTAATCCATACCTAGTATGTCATTGTCCCATACCGGTACATACAATCCTCCAGTTAATATAGTTGACAAAATAATATTAAATAGTCATCAACCACACTCAACAGTATGCACAAGATAAGTTAATCTATATATATAAATATTAGACATTCAATACAGCCTAAAATCCAACTCCAATAATGTAAATTGCTACAATAAATTTAAGTATTCACATTCACCATTATAATCCATGAATTTATACAGTTAACGGAAATTTAATTATCAATTACACCCAAGCTAAGCACAGGTAATTGCAGTTAATTCATTTTACTTCTAATACCCTGGAAATATAATTTATTATATATATTTAAATCATATTTAACAACCTTATTAAGCTCCAATATATAAAACTAGCAAATCCTCCAACATAGCATAATTACTAAAACAACACTATATAATTAACTGTCATCCTCCAAAATATGCACCAATATGAATTCATACATACATATCAACATTAGGTATTCACTTCAGAACCTAAATATTATGATCCAACAATTTAAATAGCTAAAATAGGTCATAGCATTTAAATTCCACATATAGTCCATCAACTGATACCATTTAACAACCATTGAGTACCAATTGATTCCAACCCAATCATAGTTGAAATTATAGTTAATCCACTACGTTTATAACATGGTGGACAATATGATTAAATATAATTAATTTATATACTAACAATTTGCTAAGTTCCAGTAATTAAATCTCGATCTTAGCAAAATAGTGCAACGTATAGATTTTTCTTGAGCTGTATTTTACTCCTTTCCTTAATCCAATATTATAATAATGTTTTTCACTATTTTAATAAGTCCCTAACATTTAATTGCACCCCTCAGCATCCTTTAAACAGCTTTAGAATTCACTGTACAGCTCAAACTACGCACACAAACACACTCAGTATGCACTTTCTAGGCAAGAGCAGGCTCCAAAAATTTAGAGCCTGCTCCATTTATGTTAGAGCCAGCTCTCTAACTTAGGGAGCTTGCTTTTAGAGGTGAGCAAATAATCCGTCAATCCGTCAATCCAGTCCGAACCAATCCGATCCGTGTGGTTCGGTTCGGTTTTCAGATCTAATGGTTCGGTGATGGTTTAAAAAATCTGCAATCCGGTATCCGCGGTTCAGTTAACGGATTAGACCCTGAAAAATTCGATCCGAACCGTTAACCGATCTGAACGGAACCGTTGTCAATCCGAACCGTTAGACAAACCGAACCGAACCGTTACTAAATAATATATTAATATATTGTATATATATATTATATTATATATATATATATATACACAATATACCGTATTTTTTTTTTCTTTATCCATTTTTCTATTAATGTTAACCTAACCCTAACTGAGCCTTGATTCTTTATTACTCACTTTTCTCCAAGCGCCTCCCTCACTAACTCAGCCTCTTCTTGCCTCTGTAAGTCTCGCCTCTGTCTTCCTCTCGCCTCCCAATCTCTTGTCTCTCAATCCAACACCTCTAAACCATCGTTCACCAGATTCGAAACAACGGCGACCTATTCGACTGGATCTACCTCTTTTCCAGTGATTTCACAAGATTTTTGCATAGATCTTCTTATTCTCCTCTTCTCTGAACCAAATTTTTTATATAGTTTTTACTTAATTTTCTTCAATTTTTGTTGATTTTTCCGTTGTACCCCTTACCAGGGTTAATATTTTCAGTAGAATTGTCAAAAATATCATATCATGAGGTAGATCTAGATGGTTTGCTACTTTAATCATGAGCTAAACTTTTTTATGGTTCAAAGGATTTTCATCTTGTCAGAGCCTGTTGGGTTCTACACAATCGTCCAACTTCACTTTTTGAAATCCAACTTCTCACTGTTCCACACAATCATATTATTAGGAATTTTGCTATAATAATAAAAATGCAAAGGAAACTAATATTATTAGAAATCCACGTATCATGATTTTTTTCTTTTAGGGCTGAATTTTCCACTCCATTGATTTACAAACATGTTTAATTTTCACTGCAATCTTCCACTAATTTTTGTAATAATTTATTTTTCTGGCAGATGACAACCGGAGAAGATTCTAATGTTTCAAGGCCTGAAGCCCACAATTAGCCCAATCCGGGGAACCGATCCGAACCGATCCGTTAACTAACGGATCG